CTCCGCCGCCGGTGGCCGACCTGAGCGCTGGCTCGTCGGCGCAGGCTGCTCCTGCCGCCGGAGGCATGGACGCCGTCTTTGGGCAGCTCAACCAGGGCGAGAGCGTGACCAAGGGTCTGCGCAAGGTTGACCCAAGCCAGATGACGCACAAGAACCCCGAGCTGCGGGCTTCCAGCAGTGAGTGGCTGCCGGCGAGAGGCATGCCTCCGGGCTCGACAAAGGATGGCCAGCTGACCTGATATCGACCGACGCACTCCCCACGCTTTCCTTCGCCTAGCTGTCGCTGCACCGACCAAGGCCGCGCCGCCACGGCCGGCAGCCAAGCCTGCCAGCCTCAAGGCCAAGAAGCCGCCACGCACCGAGCTCGAGGGCAACCGCTGGAACATTGTGAGTGCCGGCGACGGCGACGATGAGTGGCCATCGGTAGCGGCGGCGATCCTGACAGAGATATCGGTCCGTCGCTCTATCGCCTTGGCCTGCAGGAATACCACGAAGACAACAGCAACATCATCCTCGACCAGACCGAGCTCAACCAGACTGTCAACATCTTCAACTGCAAGAACTGCACCATCCAGATCCGCGGCAAGATCAATGCGGTCCAGATGGGTGAGTGCCTGGTGGCGCATGGCCGCGAGTGGCCAGAACATGCTGTGGATCGAATGAGGGTTTGCTGACCGCCGAGCTCTCATTGCCGGTCCCACCCGGTTTTCCTTCCTCGACTCCTTACCGCCAGCCAACTGCCAGAAGACGTCGATCCTCATCGACACGCTCGTGTCGTCGCTCGAGATTACCGGCTCCCCGTCGTTTGCCGCGCAGATTACGGGCTCGACGCCGACGGTGCTGCTCGACTCGAACGACAGCGGGCAGCTGTACCTGTCCAAGACGTCGCTCGACACCGAGATTATCGCGGCCAAGTGCAGCGCGATCAACGTCAACGTGCCTCTCGAGGGGGGCGAGGAGGGCGAGTTTGAGGAGTATGCGCTGCCGGAGCAGCTCAAGTTTACGATTGACAAGAGCGCGGGCAAGAAGGACAAGATCCGGAGCGAGATTGTCGTGCACACGGCCTGAGCTCGGCGCGGCACAGGCGGCATCGCGCCGCATTGGTCATCGCAGCAGCAGGAGTGGGGCGGACCAGGCTTGCTGTCATCGTAGTGCGGGGCATGGCGGCATTGGGCGGTGCGAGCAAGAGCCTCGGGAGTGGCGTCGTAATGTTATCCTATCCAAATGAAGTCAAGGGGCGGCGCCGCGGTGAATGGAGTTCCATACCTGTGCAGCAGGGCCGACCGGCACCGCTTCAGTGAGCGCAGGCGGATGTGGAGAAGACCGGCAGCCGGATCTGATGAGGCGACTCAAGCGGCGCCAGACTCAAGACTGGCAAAAGGCGAGCCTGGCCAGGCCGGACCTGGCCCGGGCCACGCGCCCTCCTTCTTCTGCTCCCGCACACCACCCACCGCCAGCCACTGCCTACTCCTAGTCCCCTGCCCCCATCGTCCAGCGCAGCGTAGGCCTGCAAAACCTGTCCAGCAGCGAACCAGCAGCGAGACCCCACGGCAGTGGTGTGACCCTGCCCATCCTTCGACCCGCCGCCGACCGCTCGAGCCTGGCATCCGACCCGCAGCGTAACATGGACGCTGCCACCTGGCCCGCGGCGCACGGCGGTCCCCACCACGCCGCCAACCTCCTCTCGGTGCCTCCAGAGATCCTCGACAACATTGCCTGCTTCGCCGCCGTGGCATCCACCAGTCCACCGGGCACCGTCTACGATGCCTCTGGCTCCCAGTCCACGGCTGACCAGGGCACCGCCAAGGTGCCTCGGCGCGGCATGCTCTACGACAGCAGCATCCGCCCATCGAGCGTCATCACGCCGCCCAACGACCTGCGCAGCCTGCTGCTCGTCTGCCGCCGCTTCCACCACCTCCTCAACATCGCCGCCAACCCGCGCCTCTACGCCCGCGTCTTTCGCTCCAAGTTCGACACGGCCGCCATCGAGAGGCGCTTCGGAAAGCACGCCGTCAGCTCCGCCAACCTCGCTCAGGAACTCCGTAGGCGCTGCCTCGTCCTGCGCAGGATGAGGAGGTGCGTCGAGAACCAGGAACTCTGCCCCGGTGGCGTCTCGGAGGAGACGTACCCCATCCTCGTCGAGAACCTCTGGACGGCGTACATGATGCTCCTCGAGAATGGTGAGGATGAGCCTCAGTTCCTGCCGATGCCGCTCGTGCGCCCCTTTTGCTGACGTCTTCTGCCTTGCCTTTGTCCATCGCGCCCACAGACGGCCTCAATCTGCAGCAGCTCAAGTGGGGCCAGATCGAGAGCTACCTGGCCATCCACCACGCCAAGGTCATGCTGTCCGATGCGGTCCGGCCAGGCTACCCGGCCGACTCGGTGGATCGGGCTCTGGCGCTGCACATCACCTACCTTCTCACCGACCCGGAACAGCTGGCCTCCGAGTCCAAGGACGAGAGCGAGGAGAAGCTCTTTGTCCTTCGGCCTTTTGTCTTTGCGGCACACAAGGTGAGAACCGCATCCTTAACCCCACACTGTCCCCGCTTAGCATGCCCAGCAGGACGCTGATGGACGTTCGTGTCGACCCGCTGCGACCCACCCACTCCCAGTTCACCGCGATGCTGGCGCCTTGGACGATGCGCAACCTGCCCCTGGACCGATACCCAGACTCCGCTTACGAAGGCCAGGGCACCGGACCGAACCAACGGCCCAACCCGTTCCTGGCCGACCTGACGCCGCGCGCGCGGGCCTGCGAGATCGATCACTGCGGCCAGCGAATCCGGATCGCCATCCCCGTCCTGTCGCACGGTGCCCTCTTCTCGTTCTTTATGAAGGTCGAAAAGGACCCCGCCGTGCTCGGCATGGGCGCTCTGCTGGGTCAGACCGACGACCTTGGCGCCGATCCGACTGGCGGCGGCGGCGCACCGGCGGCAGGGCAGGGCGACGCGAACGGCATGGGACGGCGGGTGCGCGCGCGGTCATCTCGGAGCCCGCTGTCGCTCTCCTCGCTGGACCACGACCGGGACGTGCTGCGCCTCCTCTTGTGCGCCGATCCGCACACCTCTCCGGGCCTGTCGCCGCTCAACTGCAGCGGCATGTTTGAGGGGACGTGGGAGGGGCGCTTCTCGTTCTTCGACTTTGACAGCTACCGCGAGATGCTGGCGGGCCGCATGCGCAGCCTGTACGAAGGACCGTTTGGGGAGCAGCCGCAGATCTGGAAGATCCGGGAAAAGATTGTGCGGCTCGGACCGGGCGAGGTGCCCGGCGGCAAGGGCAGCGTGCTGGGCGCCGGGTACATGCCCCATCCCGAGGGCATCATCCTCGACGAGAAGGTCGAAGAGAGCATCGGCGCCGATTCTGTCGTCGTGGATCGGTCGGAGCTGCTCGACGGCAAGGGCAAGGGCAAGGTACGCTGGAACGGGGACAAGGGTGGAGCGGGTGGCACCACGTCGACGACGGCGGGGTTGCCCGTCGATTGGTCTTCGTATCCCCGATTCGACGACGAAGAGGACGGCCGAGGAGGAACGCGGCAGCATCAGCAGCAGCAGCAGCAGTACGAGATCCTACTCTCTGGCACTGTGAGTTCCATCGTCTTCCGCAACCGGCCCAAACGTCGATACTGACCCTCTTCTCTTTCTCCCTACTCCCTCTCCATCACCGCGACAAACGACAACGACTCGACGACGGACGGACGCAACAGGGTCACTCGGCATGGGGCCGCTTCGTACTACGCGGCCGCGTTCGGACGTGGGATGGCATGCTGATCATGACGAAAGAGTACCGCCCCGACGGCCGAGGACGCTGGCTCTACCGCGGCTACGTCGTCGCCGGCGGCAAACTCGTCGGCCGGTGGAGAGACACGTTTACCCCCGAAAACATGAGCGGGTACGAAGGGTGAGATTGCGTCTCCCTCCTGTTCCCTTTCGTCCTCTCTCAATCATGCTGACGTTTGCATCGGCTCTCCCTCCCTCGCCTCTGTGGAAACAGATGCTTCCTCCTCCATCGTCGCGAGGCTTCCTGAGCTTATCTGCTTGTGTCCCCCTCCCAGCCATCGCGCGTCCTACTGTGTAATTGTATTCCCTTGGGTAACGGGCAGATGCTGAGTAGTCGTCATGTGTGTGTGTGTGTCTGTCCGGGTGCGGAGACAGAAGTGCGTGTCGTCGAATGCAAAAAGGAAAGGAGGACCTATCGTCGACGGCTGCAGGGATGGAGGGGCTGCACGCGGCGGAGAAAAAGGTGATGACCGAACTGGGACTCGAACCCAGGACAAACTGGAGGAAGCCTGCAACGCGGCCAAGACGCGGGTGATTCTTGAAGCCAGCCCCATAACCACTCGGGCATTCGGCCTGCAGTGTACGAGGGAGCCGAATTAAACAAATATAAAGCCATTAGCGAGAACGAGAGTTTCGACGTGGAGCCCTCCTCCACCTCCGTGCGGCGGTGAGCTGGCACTGACACTGACCGGTCACTGGAGGCCGGTGGCCGCCTGCATGGCTCCCCGCGGTCGGGCTACGTAGCTGCTCGCAGCCCGCCGCAAGCGTTCCACGTCCCCACACCGACCACCGAACCGCCCCACCGCCGTCGTCACGCCCTCGTTGCTACTTGTCTTGCGTTGCTTTGCGTCTCTTACTGTATCTCCACCTTCGACGCCCGAACCCTCCCTGCACGCTCCAACCACGCCAGCTGTTGCCGCCCACCTCGTTCTCGGCCAGCGGTTCGGCCACGGAAACCCGTTCCGTCAGAGGCATTCTCACCCCGGCGCCCGTCAGAGGAGGTAGAAAAGGGGCATCTGCTCTCAGCTGCTAAGGCTTCACTTCGGCACACACCCTCCATCTCTCAACGCAGCGCCCTCGCCACCACCCTCCGCGTGAGCAGCCCAGCCCAAGACACCCACCGCCCAGCATGGCCACGACGTCGTCGCACAACAAGAAATCCTCGTCCGTCAAGCGCATCCTCTCCGAGGCGCGCGAGCTCTCGGCGGACACGTCGACAGAGTACACGGCCGCACCCCTCGAGGACAACATCTTCGAGTGGCACTTTACGCTGCGCGGGCCCTCGTCGTCCGAGTTCGCAGACGGCCTCTACCACGGCCGCATCCTCCTCCCCGCCGAGTACCCCATGCGCCCGCCCAGCCTCCTGATCCTCACGCCCAACGGACGGTGGGAGCTCAACAAGAAAATCTGCCTCACCTTCACCGGCTTCCACGAGGAAATGTGGCAACCGGCCTGGGGTATCCGCACCGCGCTCCTCGGCATCCAGACTTTTATGACGGCCAAGGCCGAGGCTGCCGTCGGCATCGGGGCGTTGGACTACTCGGTCGAGGTGCGCGAGAAGCTGGCAAAGGAGTGAGTTCGGCCGCGCGGTCGCTGCTCGGTCTGTCCAGGTGCCCGCCAGGTGGATCCGGCCAGCTGACGGTCGGTCTCCTCTGTTCACTTCTCCACGGCACAGATCGAGGAACTGGAAGTGCCCAACCTGCAACTGCACCAATCTCGAGCTCCTCCCTGACCCGGACCCGGCAGAAGGCGCGAGGAAGGTCGAGGCGCTGCCCGAAGGCCTCACCATCGACGCGGCCCGCTCGACGAAGAAGGAGGGCGAGGCAGCAGCAGCAGCAGCAGCAACAGCGGCAGCAGCAACCTCGTCCACGTCCTCGTCCTCCTCACAACCTTCTGGAGATACTGCGGCCCAGGCGGTGCCACCGCTCCTTGCAGCCAGGAATGAAGCATCGGCCGTCGCAGCACCTGCTTCCAGCACCACCGCGACGATAGCGGCCGCACCATCGCCAGCAGCAGCGACAGCGGATAATGTCTCGTCGCAGGCAGCGGCCGCGGCATCGACTGGCGTGGCGGAAGCCGCAGCAGCGCATGGGCCGACGACAACGACACCAGCGCCGCTACCATCGGGCCCTGATCCGGTCCGGGCGCCGACGACCGCGACCGCGGCCACCGCTCCCACGCCGAACAGGACCACGGCACCACCACCGGCACCACGCACCGCTAGCCTGCCGAGCGGTGCACCCGCCCGAACATCGTCCAGCGAGCAGACCTTGGCCCTCATCGATCGCTGCATCGCTCTGTTGGTAGGACTGGTGGCGCTGCTCATCATCAAGCGGCTAGTGTAGCTTGCCCCGCATGCCCTTGGACTCTTGCAACGACTACGACGATAATCCATCTGCCTCGTCGACTTGCTGTGCCAGGCGTGAGGGGCCCACCAATGAAAGGAAGAGACTGCGCTGAAGTGCCTGGCCGCCACCAAAGTCTCAGCCCATGCTGAGACGGATGGCGGCTGCCCCGCCGCTGGCGACGTGGGCTCCGACCAAGTTGACGACGTCCAGCACGTCGTCCACGACTGCCAGGCTCTCGGTGCATACGGCCTCAGACGCCCGCAGGCAGTCCCTTTCCACGGCGGCGAGCTTGTCGGCGACGCGATCGCGCTCCTCGGCCCGGTCGAGCTGGTGAAGCACCCTCGCCATAAAGTAGAGCACCTTGCGCTGGACGTGGATGAGCGAGATCGTTTCCGTGTCTGCAAACAGCCGTGGCGGTGGGAACAGCGTCGTGGCGTTGGGAGGCGATCAGCAAGATGAGCTCCGACCGTCTCGTCGCGGGCCTGGTCGGCGGCTCACCTCGTTCAGCGCGGTCCAGCCAGTCCAGCGCTTCCGTAATTGTCGAGGCTGTGGAGATGATCGAAGACGGGTCTTTGCCGGTCAGCATGCGAGGAGGCCGCCAGAGGAGAGGTTGTTCGTCTTGCCACTTACGGTCTCCGGCCGACTTGGTCTGTCCCAAGAGGCACTCGGCGTACGTCCACTGCGCCATGGCTCTGACCTCGAGGTCCTCGTCGGCGAGAGTCTGCATCCGGCAGTCGTCTTGGCTGCGTCAGCTCCGATGTTTCGCATCTCGGGCGGCTGGACCACATGGCAGACCGCCACTCACCAGCGGCAGGACCTCTTCGAGCGAAGCTAGAGCTTGAATCGGCAGCTGGTAGCTGATGCCGGCGATCCGTGAAAGAGTCACAATGCCCGCCCGTTCCAGAGGCTCATGAGCCTGCGCTCGGGCCATGGCGATGGCGGTGAGGGCGGGTGACTGCGCTCGAGCCGGTTGCTTGGCGTCCTGCGGTACGTGGCCGGTCGGTTGCTGTCAGCAGGATCCTCGCTTGCACCTCGGGAGTGCGGAACTGGATAGGACTCACCATCAGCATCTGTGCCTTGTCCAGGAGCAGCTCGATCTTCTGACGCGAGCTCAAGGCGAGCCTTCTCTGAAAATTGGCTTCGGAAGCCGGCTTCTTCTCGCTTGCCCCTGCACCGCGAGGGCCGAGCGATGGCAAGAGCTCCTGCAACGTCTTTGGCGTCTCCACCAGGTCCTCGATGTCGGCATCGCGCAGGACGTGGTGCGAGCTGGGATCGAGCTGCGCCAGCCGGCTAAGGGTCTTGGCCTCGCGCCGCCGCCTCGCCCGCAGCCAGAGTATGCCCCAGACTGCTTCGGTCCACGCTCGGTACTCTGCGGCCGACAGCGCTTCGTACGTCGAGGGCCGCAGCAGCAGCCCTAAGCCGTGTTCGTACCTTCCGCGACGTGCAAGCTGATCGACAAGGGAATGCCTCTCGCGGAATTTTGTCAGTGGACCATTCGAGTTTCGTGCCCTCGCGGAATCCGCCTGGAGCGACTCACCTTGCTCGCCTTTTCGCACCGCGCCTTGATGCGGCCTTCCCTCTGAGCTGCTGCGACTTCGCCTCTTGCCCGGGCTGCTCGTCCTAGGTAGACATTGGCCACCTTGCCCTGTCCGAGGTCTTGCCACAGATGGCCGACAACGGCATCTGGGCGCGCCGCATCGTTGCCAAAGCGGCGGCTAGCATCGTCAATGAGGTGCAGCGAAATGTCGACCGACGATTTTGTCGCCTTGACATTGGCTCTTGGGGGTTGAGCAGACCGCACTAGCTGCTGCAGGACCTCGACGAGCTCGTCGCCCTGACAAAGGAAAAAGCAGATGCCGATTCAAAGCGAGGAAGCATGAGTCGACGTGCGCCAGGAACGAGTTCATCGATGGCCAACAAAAAGCCCACCTTCCCGGCGTCAGTTTCAGCTCGCCAGAGGGCGTCCTGGCTGGACAATTGTCGTTGCACTCCTGGGCTCTTGTCTTCCATAGACCGTCTGCTTGTCCCTTCGCCCTGCAATCTTCGCATCAGACTGTGTTGTCGTACAGGGACGGGGAAGGAAGCGCTTCAGCGGCAGTTGCGACAACTCCGCGGCGCGACGAGTATCAGTACTCACCTCTCACACATGGCGACGCATTCAAGGTCGTCGGCCGAGCGAGCCAGGCTGACGGCCTCTTCCAAAGCCTGCGACGATGAAGGTTCAAATCAAGCGCTCAGCTCAAGTTCGTCATCCGAGGCTTCGCGTTGCGGGACTTTGGCTCATCGGTTGACTCACGGCTCGCGCGGCGTCGAGCCCGCCGGTCTGGTAATGGAAAGAAGCAAGATGAAGCAGCGTGTGCTGGTGAAGCTCGCTGCGAGCGCGCCGTTCAGAGGGGAGGTCAGAAAACGTTCCGCACCACTCCGGCCAGGTTCCTGCACTTACTGATCCGAGCCTGGCGCGAAGTAGTCGAACGACTTTTGCATACTGTCCTTCGCGGTGGAATAGTCGCCCGTGAGCATGGCTCGCTGGAACCTGAAGACCCAAGTACGAAGGAAGAAGCCGCCCGTTGCTCTTCAGCGACCACACTAGGAGCCAGCACGGCGGCTTGCGTTGTCGACTCACTGTTTGTATGCCGTCATCCTCGAGTCTGCAAGCGGGATGCACGGAAGTCAGCGCACGTTTCGTGCTTGGCCCGTACAAGTGGGCGGCGGAGGAAGATTGGGCAGAGCTCGACCTGAACGTACCCTCGGTACCTTCTGCCTCATGGAGGGCATCGTTCGACGCGTGCGGAGGGAGGAGGCCCTCCTTCCATTCGAATGCCACGTCCCGGAGCCTGCCCCGCGCCTCAAGGTCGAGGCTGTCGAAGACAAGCTTCTGCCGTCGAAAGTAGAGTCCGAAGAATGACCGCCGATCCTGGAGATGATCGAGAGCGGGATGAAAGAGAATGGATAATCGAATCAGACCAGTGTCGAATCGGAGGAGACCAGCCTGTCCATGCGGCAGCACCCACCACAAAGACCTCTGGCGATTCGTCCATCTGCAATGTCGCGGTGTCAGGAAGCAGCAGCCGATAGTTAGAGGAGGCTCCTTGACATCAGAGCACGCACCACGTCCACTCACCCCGAGTGTCTCGTAGGGCGCCAGGATCCGGCTCAGTTCTGCCGGCCAAGCGAGATACATCGTCAGGTCAGTCCTGGGACCACGCTCAAGAGGCCCGGATAAGAACAAGTCTCAAGGCTGCACACTTGCTTTCGTTGAACAGCTTCGTCAGTCCGTCGGTGACTTCGAGGATCTCGAGCTGTGAGGGGGAGGCGCACAAAGAAACACGTAAACATCCGTAAGGTAGGTGCGAGAAGGTCGCCATATGCAACAGACCAGCTCTCCGACCTACGGGCCAACTCACTGTCCGGTTGAGATATTCGCAGACCACCTCGGCCTGCTCTGGTTCGCAGGCGAGCGCCGACCGAACGTGGCCGAGGAACTCGTCCAGCGACGCCGTCGGAGGGACGGCCTGGTAGATGAGGTCCATGAGCAGCAGCATCAACGCTCTCCGGGCCTCACGGGAGGTCTCAGGCAGGTGGACGCGGCAGTGGAAGTTGAGCAGCAGGAGAATGGCTAGCCCGTGGCCATCGAGCTCTCCGGGCGAGGAGGCGGGCGGCAGCATATCGGCGAAGCGGCGCGGCACCAGCTGAACGCTGCCACGCAGGAGCCAGGTCCGGAGAGGGATCCTTGTCGCGCAGAGTCAGGGTTGCGTGGTTGGTGTGCAGGCGTGTGAGCGGTCGATCTGGGAAGGTTGTCGGGAGGGCGATCGAGGAGCGGCAGAACCAAGGCGGATGGAAAACGGTGAGGCTGCCCAGAGGCGGCCCACGCCTGCTCCACATGGCTAGCCTGGCCTGGCAGACCAGCTGGCCGGCGGGTGTTGTTCTCTGCGCTCGCTGCTCATCCCCGGCCTGCCGCGCCAGCCGCGACCCTAGCCTGGCTGGCCTGGCCTGGCCGCACCGACCTACCGACGACCTTTCGCCCGATCCGAAAGTCAATCGGGAAGAAATTTTCTCCACACCACCGACCAGGCGACCTGCCGACGCACAGGCAAGCAAGATCGCCGCCACCTGGGCTCTTGGGACGCTTGCATCTCGTCCTCATCGCCGTCACTCTCACGCACGCATACAAACGCAACGCACATCTGCACCACCTCTGCCTGACCGATTCCAACGTTCACAGACGACATACAAGATGGCATTCTCTGAGGACACCAAGGTGGGTTGTTGCCTGGCTGATGGCGAAAGACGCGGATGATCCTTGGCCCGGCTGCGGCTGACACTGCACGATCTCTCAACCCACTTCGCCCGGCGAACGACAGGAGCGACTGGTCAAGGTCGTCGACATCACCAAGACGGTGCTGCACTACGGATGGTGAGTCCGGCCTGTGATCTGGCTACGCCGATGCATCGCCAGGCCACCTTCGGCGTTCGCATCGGATCCCCCGCTGATCCGCTCCCGCACCGCCTCTGCCCCTCCCCGACGCATCGCAGGGTTCCGTTCGTCCTCTACGTCGGCTTCACCCGAAGCACGCCCCAGCCCAGCCTGATCAAGTGAGCAGCAGCGCACTGTCTTGCCCTTCCTCAAGGGCTGCTCGTCGGCTCCTTTTGAGCGGCAGGAAGCCATTCGGGCATCCGAGGGAAGTGTCGCTGACCCATCCTCTACGCCTTGCTCCTACCCCGACCCCTTTCCGTCCGCACCTCGCTCCGACCGATAGGCTCATCAGCCCGCTGGCGTAAAAGACGTCCCCACCGTGCGGATCCGCAGTCCCGCTACGCCTCGGGCAGGACTCTGCCTGGACCTCCCTGCCGCTGAAGCCTCGGGAAGGCTGGGTCTGCGCATCGGTTCCAAGTCGCTCTCAAGGGAGCATCCTGTATTCTACCGCACCGCCTTCACCGCTCCCCTTCCCTTCGAATAGGATCCACCCATCGGTCCATCCCGCCGTTTCTGTACGGCATATCCGAGCGCATTGGCTCCGGCGGGCGCGCCTCTGGAAACTCGATCTTCGGCTGGATCCGAGGATCAGGGGGCCAACCCCATACAAGTCCTGGCTTCCTGACGCCGGCCGTCTCACCAGGAACGACTCGCCGCCTTGAGCATCACAGGCAAGGCGAGGGTGACCCTACAGCAGATGTCTGGCAAACGCCCAACGCTGGCGGCGTAGCCACGGCTCTTCGTCTTGTGCCCTCAATCCTCTGCTGCCCATACGTATTTGCCTCCGCTGGTCTCTCTGACCTCTTGCAGCAACCTCGCCACGTTCGCCAACACCACCAACACCCTCAACACCACCACCACCACCACCACTAACACTACGCACGATCGCACTCTTCATCTCTTTGTCCCACAGCAATGAGCTTCCAGTCGTGGCCATCGATACAGGGCACGAGCCAGGCCTCGATGACGCAGGCAGCATCGAGCCAGCCCGGCCTTAGCGGCGCGTCGCGCCTCAGCGCCCTGACGGGGAGGCCGGCTCACAGCATGTTCTCCCGCTCGAATCATCGCCTGCCCGCAGTCTCCGCGCATCTCCACAGGCAGGCGCAGTCGCAGGCTCCAGCCACGCCCATGTCGGCTAGCTCGGACACGGTCGTCGCTTTCGACGAAGGACTTAGGCCGCCTCCGCCTCCTCCGCCGTCTCAGCAGCAGCAGCAGCAGCAGCAGCAGTGCTCGCGTCCCTCTTCCTCCACGCGCGCGGGTCGTCCGAGCACGGCGCCTAATTCGGCGCAGGTCGACCAGGAGCATCAGGAGCTCCTACTGTCGCTGCAAGACACGGTCCACAACCTCTACGCAGAGGTTCGAAACCTTGGCAAGGAGCGCAGGCAAGGTAAGCAAGGTCGAGCTCGGCTGGCGGTTGCGTCGATGCTCTCGGCGCCGCGATGCTGCGGGATAGTGACAAGATTCCTCACCGTCCGATGATGCCGTGATCAGATGCCGGGCGGGTGGACAACCTGCTGGCCGAACATCACCAGCAGCTTCGCGACGATCTTGGCGGACAGCTCGATGTGCTCAAGGAGAGCGCCTGCTCCCATTCCGATCGACTCGCAGACCAGATCAAACCGCAGATGGAAGCGGTCTTGTGCAGCCTCAAAGGCGTGCAGGGCCATGTCTCGGCCATGCAGCAATGGCAAGAGGCCCAGGAGAACCGCCAGAGGGAGTGGCACGAAGAGCTGAGACGCGAGCAGCTCCGCTGGCAAAATCTTCAGTCGGCGCGACAACAAGAGCTCCAGAAGAGGCTGGAAGAGTCACAGCAGAGTATCGTGCGGCAGCAACTGGAGGCGCAGCGGGCCTTTGACGAGCAGCGGAAGGCCGCAGGCGAACAGATCCAGACCCAGGCTCGCGTCGAAAAGGTAGGCCGACATGCGTCGTGAGCGATCGGGCTCTCAAGCGTACGACGGGACCCTAACGTCAACGAGCCCCCCGTCAAACCTCTGGCGACGAGACAGGGGCTGGTGCACATCGCCGAACTTTTGGGCAGAGTCAGCCAGGAGCGCGACGCAATCTTGACGACGGTGCCACCGAGCACGGCACCGGGGCCCTCGGGCGCTGTTCCAGCACCACAGCACGCGTGCCGCGGTATCACGGCCGAACAGTTCGGACAGATGCTCGAGCAGCACCTTTTCAAGGTGCCCGACGGACCCCTTGGAGCGCTGCTTGGCAAGCGCGTCGCCGAGATGGTCGAGAGGCAGTTGGCCCGGACTTTGTCCAAGCGCCAACGCGGCATCGATCTCGAAAGGGACAGCGACCTCGAGGCGGGCCCAGAACAAGGCATGAAGAGGGTATTTGCGCCGAGCTCATCGGTCCAAAAGCACCGTAGCCCGGCTAAGGACCCGGCCGCGAGGCTGGTCGTCGTCGACGTACAAAAGCAGCGCCTGGTCGATCCAGACGCCGCTGGTCCGCTGTCCTCGAAGCCTGACAAGCAGCGAAAGGCCTCGAGACGCGCAGATGAGCCGATGCCGCAGCAACTGGTCGAGTCTGGGCGGGCCTACAACCTCCGCGATCGGCCGCGTCGACAGGAAGAAGCGAGGCCCTCGACAGCGGCAGGCATCCTGCTCAGCACGGAATCATGGACGGGCACCGGCCAGACCTCGACGGTGCGGGCGCCCGCTGCAGCCAGTGTCGGGGCTGGCGCCTCAAAGACCTCGACCAAAAGGACGCGGGTCCCGCACGTAGCCCCGGATCGTCCAGCAGGGCTCTACCGGGCGGGAGTGAGTTGGTCCCTCGACGCCATGGTTCCAGCCTGCGAAGGACTGCGCTGACACCGGATTCCTCGTCATTCTCCCGCAGCAGCAGAATAAGCGCAAGCTCACCGATGGATTCGACCACGAGCCGAGACGGGGGAAAGAGGAAGACGACGACAGAAGCGATGATGAGGGCGAAGCTGAGGATGGAGCGTAGCGCTTTGACCAACGTCGCACGCGACCAGGAGGTGGGACTCCATCGCCGTGGATCGGGCCATTCGCACTCTCTTTTCGGCTGCGGCGTCCAAGCGGTCATAGCTTGGGGGCAGCCCTGGCCCCCGCGAGGAGCGACTCCGCCACGACGAAGCGTACGTCTTCGGTGTCAGCGCGGTGTATTGCCAGGGGAGCCAGAGCTGCTGAGCTTGGGCTCTGTCGGGCCAAATCACCGGTCATCGGCGTGACAAGGTGCATGGGTTGGTCAGAGTGGGATGCGCGGAGATGAGTGGGGGAGAGGAAGGAGCTGTACGAGGCATGGCCCCAGAGAGGACGAGTTGGAACAGACGAGATGGTGACCGCGCGGCCCGCGCGCGACGTTGAACTTTGCCTCGGCCCACGGACCTCCACTTTGCGTGGCCGCCTCTTGCCTAGCCTGCTGCGCCTGCGTCTGCGCCTGCACCGAAGGAAGGTACGGAGGGCCGTCTCGAGTGAGCTGCGCGCGGCTCGGGGCGTGTGCTGCCGGCTGGCCGTATGGCAAGCGAGGGACCCGGCTCGGTGCTCGGCTTGCTTCTCCTACTTCCTGGCTCGCCATCATCACCGCCGACGTTCGTCTCCCTGCACCGCTTCCGACCCCCAACTTCTTCAACCTCCCTCTCACATGGACGTTGGGCCCCGTGCTTGAAGTCTGATCAGGCGAAAGAGCACCCGCAACGAGGAATCCACCGCCGCCACCGCTTGCTCTAACCCTCTTCTACCTGCTGCGCCGCCTCTGTCCTACCCCTTGCCGCCTCTGTCCAACCCCCTAATCATTGCCGTCTTGCACGATATCCGGACACCGTGCCGCCGTTTCTGACACCGAGCCACAGCAGCCACCGCCTGCTCTGCCACCATCCCTCGCCTGCCAATCATCTTGCGCCCTCACGCCAACTTGCCCAGCGCCCCGGCCAGCTGTCATCGCCTTTGCCTGTCATGGTCCATTGATGCCGCACCTCGACCCGGCCTGTTACCCCTTTGCCGCGTCAGCATCGATCCTTCCCGCCTCGCTCGGTAGCCTCCAATCCACCATCCACCTTTAGCGCCTCCCTCGGACACGCAAGCATGTCGGCGGGGCTGCAGGATGGGCCCGACGCCGCCGCCCGGCCTTCGGCGACATCACCCTGGCGTGTCGGCCTCATCCTTGTTCTGCTGCTGGTCTTCACCGCCCTCTTCTTCCGCTCGGTCCTCCCGCGCGTCCCACGCCTCTTTCTGCGTGGGCGCCTCCGCATCAGCAGGATCGGCATCCGAGGCGTTCGAGGGATCGAGTGGCGGTCCAAAGGCTTCTCGGGCGACGGCGACGCCTCCCATGGCCAAGAGGATGACCAGCTGCAGGTCAAGGTGCAGCGGATATACGCCGTCCTTCGGCGGCCACGGTGGAAGCGCCAGCCGGCCGACACATCGACCGCATCTCCCACTATCTGCTCGAGAAGCCTGCTGACGATCCACGTGCGCGGAGTCGGCATCAGGCTTGCCCGCAGCAAGCACGACGAGGCCGCCTTCAAGCGCAGCGTCCAAAAGGCGCGCGACCGGGAGATGGCGCTCAAGGCGGAAGAGGACCGGTTACGAATGGAGGCAGACGAGCGCCTGGCGAGCTTAATGAGCAGCTCGAGCGAGGCTTCCCCCCATGTCGGAGCGGCAGCCGCGCCGTCCGACGAGTCTGACGCGTGCGCTCAGCGCAAGGCCTCCATGCAAGCGACGACCATTGCCTCTGAGCGTTCCTCGATCCATCGGGCCGGTGCCCTATCGCTCCACACCGTCCTCCAGCTGGCCGCCTGGATCCGGACGAGTGTCATCCCGGCGGTCAGGGGCTTTGTGCTGCGCTTCGTCCGCGCCGCCGTCTTCATCCTCACGTCCAGCCTTCCTTCGCTGACGTCGCTCGTCGACGTGCAGGTGCACCGCATCGAGGTCTACGTGCAAGAGGCCGAGGCCGTGGCGCGGATCGGTCGAGCCGGCATCGAGTTCTCAATGGCCGTCGTTTCTGCACGCGATCAGCAGGCAAAGGGGGAGGGCATCTCCGGCCCGGCGCCAGCAGCCGCCGTCCTCGATCCGAAGCCGCCCTCGTGGTCTGAACTCTTCAGCGCTGCCGCCAGGATGCCCAACCGGATCGGCTCGGGAGCCCGCGGGGCGGCCTCGTACCTGATGGGAGGCCTGCCGGACGGCAAGGCATGCTTCAGGCTGAGGGTGGAAGGGGTGCAGCTGTTTGAAGCCGACCTCGACGCCGGAAGCGAGTGGCGCTCGACGCCGACCCGCGCGTCGCCCGCCACAGGCTACTCGCATGCCAACGGTCGGACGGCCTCCTCGTCGTCCTCGGTCATGGAGGCGTCCCGACCGGGCTCGCCCGCGCCACGATCAAAGCGCCGGCACGTCTCCGGCCACAGCCGCAGCGGATCGCTCACCCAGATGGATGCAAACGCGGACGCGGCGCAGGCAGGCTGGACCTCGTACGATTGGCCGGACACCGGATCGCCCCGTTCGCCCCGGTCCCTATCGCCGGCGCCGAACCTGAAGCGGAGCAACAGCGTTTCCATGCTGGGTGTCGTGTCGAGCATGAGCCTCAACGGCTTCACAGATCGTTGGGCGGACTGGGCGCTCGAGCCGCTCGCCGATTCCGACTTTAGCTCCGACACGGGCTGGTTGCAAGGCGGGAGCGGCAGCGGCAGCAGCGCCAAAGGTGGCCCGATGAGGCGGAGGGCCGCCATACCAGAAACCTCACGCCTGCTTTCGCTGCCCGGCGTCAGCGAGCTCCAGATCGGTCTGTTGCTCGGCACCAACTTCACCTTCCGGGCCAGGGAAATGGTCGACCTCTCGGTCTCCATGTGCGAGACGGTGGTGGGAGTCGATTCCGTGCTCAGGGTGGCCTCGATCCTCGAAAGCCGCAAGGCGCAGAGGACTGGCTGGGTCCCGACCGTCGACGGCGTAGAAGGGTGAGTCCCGGGAACGTCGCCACCGGGCCGGGCTGGCCGGATCATGCTGATTGACGATTCCTCGTACTACCTTCTGCTTCCTTGGAAACCTGTCGGCAGGCACGAACGCTCCGTCGTCTCCAAGCACCTGGCCAAGCAGGACGAGGCCTTGCCGCGTGCTGTGCTGACCGCTCTGTCGTCCTTCGCCTTTTCGGTCCCCGCGGTCAGTTTGACTGCATCGCCTGCGCCGCGGCTCAGCCGCACCGCTGCCAACGGGCGAGCCCCGCAGTTGCCCGCACGTCTGCTGTTCGAGGCGGAGCTGACCGGCTTCCACCTGTCGATCGGCACAAGCAATCCTGCCAACGACACGCACCAGCGATGGCTGGGCGCCTGCGGCGTGCGTGATCACATCACCCTGCATCGCGCAAATGCACGGAAGGCAGCGTCCAGAGCTGGGCTGGGCCACCGACGCGGCCAGAGCTCCGAGGGTCGCGCAGAGCAGCCGCCGCCTCCCAGATTCAAGCGGCGAACCTTGGTCGAGAACCGCAGGGCATTTGTCCTCGACGTTGGACTTGCGAGTTTGGAGGTCCACTGCGGACTCAAAGACCAGCCGCTCGAGAGGCGGTCCGAGCTCGTCTTTGTCGGCGACCTCGCCGCGAGCGCCTTGTCCACCTGGACGCCGTTTGGCATCTTGCCTTCTGCCCACCATACACGGCGGAGTGCACCAGTCTCGTTCCCTGGCGACTTCAACGAAGAGACGGCGGTGGTCAGCGCGGGCGTCGGGCGCATCAGCGGAGACGTCAGGCTGGATCACCTCACCGAGCTGGTGCGGCTCAAGCAGTTCTACGCGGCGCAGCGTGCAGCTATTCGGACCCGGATGCACATCGACAACCACCACCGCGAACCCTCGGAGATCGAGCGGCTACGACGGGTGCCGAGACTTGTCGTCGGCGTAGAGGTCAACAGCGTCGAGTATGTGGTCGACATTGGCTCGCAAGGGCAAGGCGGCGAGCCCTCGATTCGCCGGGAGCGGAAGCTGGCTTTCACGATGCCCCACCTCAGCGCTAACTTTGCCGGCGACTACCACGATCAGTATGTCAAGAGGCCCGACGCCGAAAAGCGCGCTTCGTACAAGGCGCTCCGGAGGGACGAGCTCGAGTGGCCGCTCAAGGCGGGTCCGGCCGCGCGCTCCCTTGCCGAGATCTTGACCGAGCAAGGCGATCCGCCGCCTACCGAGGAGCCCGCCGATCTGGCCGAGGACCTAGCCGACGGGGAGCCGTCGAGCAACGACGTGCCTCTGGCCAGATTTAGTCCCGATGCCGGCCCGGCGGCGGCAGAGGGCCTCAGCATCGCCGACGCGCTGGAGCAGATGAAGCAGCTGCAGGCCGCCGACGAGGAGCGGAGCCCGGCCCGACCCTCAGCAGCTTCGTCGAGGAGGACCACGGTCCGCGACGTCCACGCGAGGACTGGCAAGGTCCGCATGCCCGGCTACACGCGGCGATCGAGGATGGCGGCCGAGACGCTATACTCTCACAAGTACCAGTTCGAGGCCAGCGTCCAGGTCGAGGCGGTCGAGACGTACCTCACCCTGAGCGGCGGCAGCGCATCGTCGCGGCGTGGCTTCTTGCAGCCGCTATCGGGCTCCGAGTCTGTGGCGGGAGGCTACTCGCAGCATCACCTCCTCGCCCTCCACACTTTGGAACTCTGCGGCGCCGGCGCTGTGCCCGGCAACGTGACGCGGTGCGGCGTGTTTGACGAGATCGAGGTGCCCTGGATCTCGGCCAAGGACGGCGTGGCCAACGTCCGCGGCAGCGTCGAGGACATCGACGTCGAGATGTGGCACCCTGCCGCCATCAACGCGTATCTACAGCTGTCCGAGAGGCTGGCGGAGGCCAGCACGCCCTTCGCAGCAAGTCTTTTCGACGAAGGAGGCAAGAACAAAGACCGCCAGAATCAGTCAAGCCCCGCACGGGCGGAGCCACGGCCCGACACGGCGGAGGACAGGCCCAAACCTGATGATGCATCGCCACAGCCGGAGATGGCGACAGCGCTGGTCGACCGTCTGCCAAAAGGGCTGACTATCTACCTGTCGATCGGCTCCGCCATTGCCCATCTTGGCGGCAGCGACCCGCAGTGCGACCCGCATCTCACGCGAGGCGTCGGTCTCGAGTCGAAGCGCATAGTGGTCGAGTACAGCGCCGCCACCGAGACCAAGAACAACGCCTCGCACTACAGGGGCGGATGGGGCGCCAGGGGGGCGCTCGAGCTTCCGCAAGACCTCCGCCTGCAGGCGATTGCGCTGTCGAGTCGCCATGGCATGGCTGCTCTGGTCCGTGTCACATTCTTCGAGACGGGGCTCTTCCCCGTCCTAGATGCTGCGCAGGCCATGAAGCAGCACATGGAAGGTTTGGAAGACGGCGAAGCAGACGCGAGCAAAGAGTCTCTGCATCGCAACGGCGTGCCGCAAGCATCTGCTCGACCAGAGAGCCCGTCCTCTGCTACCAGCGACCTCGGCGACGCCGGGCCAGACGATGGGTCCTCGGCCGTCTTTGCCGAAGGGGTTTGGGACTTTCGCGGTGCAGACGAGGGCCTCCGCCACACGAAGCGGAAGCGGCCAAAATTCCGCCAGCAGGACCGCAGCAACTACATCTTCTGGATGCCCATCTCTGCGTTCAAGGCAACCATCCGACCGCCCGGCGATGCTTCATCGCCGAAGCCGGGCCAGCGAGCCGTCGAGGAGGTGACGATCACGTCCGAGGACAGCCGGCTGGTGGCGCTCAGGGTCGACCTGCTGCACACCTACTGCCTCCTTCTGACGGCGTCCATGCTCAAGGATCTGGCCGCCCGTCGACGGCCGTTACGCCAGCAGACGGACGTGGAGCACGACGGGGCTGGACCGAGACGCAAGCCGCGATCGTCTTCTTCGTCGCCGTCGGCCGGAACCCGCATGGGCGTTCACCTCAACTTTGGCGACGTCCACATCCACGTGGCCCTGCCGCGCAACGTCAATCTGTTCCTCCGCCTCCGCCGAATCGAGATCAAGAAGAACCAGATCGATGGCCTCAGCGTGGCGCTCGAATCGGTGCTGGCTGCTGTCGAGAGCCCGAAATCGGCGAGGCAGGATCTATGGGAGACGGCGGTGCGCCTGCGCGACTTCAAGATCCGGATGCCCGCCGTAGCGCAAGGCGACAAGAGACGGATCGAAGTCAACGGTGACAGCGCGGCCATCCAGATCCCTTTCGGCTACCAGGTCAACCAGATCATTGACAACGCCAGCGTCGCCTTCAAGGCCAGCAAGCAGCTCGTCCACCAGTTCCTGAGCGGGCGCACCGACTCGGTCATCGTGCCTGTCGCCGAAGAGCCCAAGCGACTGCCGGACGTCTCGGTGCGCATCCGGATTTTTGTCATCGCCGCCGAGGACGACCCGTTCGAGACGCGCCTCAACATCATCTGGCGAGCCGGGTGCGATGAGAACCGGGCGCGCGAGGAGCGCGAGGCGGCCTTTCAGGTCAAGGCGACCGAGATCCTGGCGGCGCAGGAGACGCGGAGCCTGGCCTCCTTCCACACGGACAGCGTCGATTCGTTTGTTGGCACCACGTCGTCGGAAGGTGGCAGCCCGACCAGCAGCAATGTCCACGGCCAGAGCGCCGAGGCCGCCGCCGAGAACATCGAAATGGCCCGCGAGGCGCTCGACGCCTACAACTCGTCTAGCTGGACGCGGCGTTGCCGCAACGCCAAGGCGGAGCAGGCGCGACGGCAGGACGCCGCCATGAGGCGGATCTCTGGACGGCTTCCGGCGCGCCTTGAAGACGACGTGCCGATACGCATCGTGCCCGCCTCGCGATCCGCGCCCCTCTTCCGTTCGAGCATGTCCGACGTCCTGATCGAGCTCAGCGAGCCTCCGCACTTTGCCGGCGAGGCGCTGCGCGACTTCATCCACGAGCAGGGCGGAGGCATCCCCAGGGACACGCCCTTCTCGCTCCTGCTCCCAATCCACGTGCGATGGCGCATGAAGGAGTGGCGGATCAGCCTGCGCGACTACCCGATGCCGATGCTCCACGTCCCTCCGATCAGCCACAAGCAACCGGACGGCCTATACTCTTGGGACATGGAGGCCGACCTCGTGGTCGCCGAGCAGCTCGGTGGTCCCGAGTCGATCCGCCACGTGCCCGCCGTCGTCGTCCCCGCGGCGACGGGCCATCCGGACGCCATCGAGTACGGGATCATGGTGCCCAAGGTGGCCATGCCCGTCAAGCTGTACGGCTCTCCGCGTGTCGGCATCCACACGTCGTTCCCGACGCGGCTCGTGTGGGGCCAGAGCGTCCAGCCGGCCATCCAGGACGTCGTCCGCGTCATCGACGGCATCACGTCGCCCCCGCACGACCCTTCGCCCAAGCTCGGCTTCTGGGACAAGATCCCGCTGGTGATGCACGGCGCCCTCTCGATCGACTTCAAGGGCGAGGGCGACTTCAATCTTCACCTCAAGGGCAGCCGCGATCCGTACCAGATCACGGGCCAAGCGGCGGGCTGGGTCAAGTGCTGGCGCGGCGGCGTCCAGATCCGCCTCGGACACCTCAACGACGAGAAGGAGGTCTTCCAGATCCTCAGCAACGAGTATCTCTTGGCCATCCCCGACCTGACCGACTACACCGACGCCGCGGCCACGGGCGTCACGCCCGAGGCGCGCCACTCGAGGAGCGACAGCCGCGACGACGCCGACCAGAAGTCGTACGACACGTCGCTGGGGTCGTCGAGCCGGCGCTACATGAGGGACCCCACCTTCAGCAAGATCGTCCTCAAGCTCACCAACGGCGTCAAGTGGGGTGCCGGCCTGCACCTCGAGCGCACGTGCGATGAGCGCAGCTGTCGGCGCAACCCGAGGTGCGAGGGCGAGGCCTTCTACCGCGAGTGCCGCATCTTTGACCGCGTGCCGCACTGGGAGGTCGTCACCAAGACAAAGGCGCACTTTGACAGCCTGCCCGAGCACGAGAGGATCGACTCGTACCGCGGCTGGCGCTCCGACCACATCCACTTCTCCCTCTCGGTCTTCTCGCCCGGCGACGGTCTGCCCGGGCACAGCGCCGCTCGCAGGGGCCACGGCGTCTCGAACAACTTCTACTTTACGCCGCTCGCTTGGGCCCACTTTTGGGCGTGGATGCGCCTGTTCAGCAGCGCCATGGGCTTGCCGATCCGGCACGGCTCCCTCTTCCCGGACTCGGCGCCCCCTTCGCCCAAGTTCGGCCGCCACCTCGGCACCATCAAGTATCGGATCGATCTACAGCCCCTCTTCATCACCCACCAGTACATGCAGTTCATCAAGTCGGACTGGGCGCGCGGCCTGCGGACCTTTCTGGGCATCAAGGCGCGCCTCGGCCTCTTCCGGCTCGACCTGCACCAGCGGCAGCAGGAGACGGTCAAGGAGAAGCCCGAGCTGGGCGCGCCCAAGATTGTCTTCCACAAGCCCTTCTACGAGGCCGAGGTCGACTGCACCGACATCGACCTGCGGATGCTGTGCGCTCAGTTCGACGAGCCCACGCAAAGGCTCTTGATGGACGGCGCCGACGACTTTGAAGAGTCGCCGCTCGACGACATCTTCGCCGGCCGTTGCAGCGTTTCGGATTCGGACCTGGACTGGGTCGACCTCGACGACTTTGTCGAGCTCGAGACGGCCACGCTGAGCGATCTCAAACCGAAGCTTAAGCTCTATCCCGCGCTAACGTGTCCATCGTTCAACTACTACCGCAAGATCGACTCGCAGCGGGAGCGCAGGGCCAAGGAGGACGAGTTCCGCAGCAAGGGCGGGCGCCGCGATCGTCGCAGTCGGCACGACAGTTCGGCCGCCTCCGAGGACCGCGACACCGAGGCGCTCATGGCCAGCCTCGAGCGCAGCAAGTTCGGCGACGAGCACACTCACGCCTGTCTGGTCGGCAAGGGCCAGGAGCCGATGCAGATCCAGCACAAGCTTGCCGAGCAGAGGTTGGCCGTGATCCGCTCGGATATCGCGAGGCTCAAGTCGAAGGACTCTGGCCGTGCGCCGTCGATCACCACAACGTCCTCGGGTGGCGGCACCACCGCCGAAGACGATCCGGCAGCACGGCTCGAGGAGTTGCAGATGCGCGAACGCCTTGTCCTCAACTTCCTCGACCACCTCTGCAGGCTCCAGGCCGAGTCTTCCGGCAACGATCAGCGGCGTCGCAACCCGCTCGAGGCCTTCACCCACGACGGCTTCGAGTCTGACGAGCTCGACCTCGCCTCCCTCTACCAGGACCTCGGCAACTTTGACAACCGCTACTTTGCCCACAACCCGACGCTCTTCTTTAGCAACGCCACGCGTATGGTGCTGCTCAAGTACTACTACAGCTCGCGGCGGCGGCGAGGCTACTGTCACCACATGACGGCGACCGCGGTCCGGTACATCCGCGACCTCGTCAAATCCAACAGCGACGGGCAGGGCGACGGAGACAGCTACGATACTGACGGTGGAGGCGATATCGACGATGGCGACGGCGACGGCGAGGGTGACGTCGACGTCAACGTGGGCGGCCGTTGCGGTTCGCGGAAGAAGGGAAGGCGAGGCCAACAGCGCAACCGAGCCACGTCCCACCTTCATGGGCACCACCGAAGCGGCACGGTCGGGGCGGAATCGATCCCGACGGGCTCAGCGTCTGCGCTGCATGAGATGCTCCAGGAGGCGTTGCGCAACGCCGAGCTCGACGACGGCACTTCGAACGAAGGGCGCGGCTGCATCGTCACCAATCCGGGCGATGGCATCTCGGAAGAATACACGGTCAAGTCGAGCAACGTCTGCCTGTTCCTCAAGCCGCAGATCGTCCTCCGCAGCGACGTCGACGATCGCTCGACAGTCGTCATTACCGCGCTCCGGGCCCGCCTGCACAACTACACGGTGCTCGACGAGAGCTGCGCCGAAGACTCGGTCAACGCCATTGTGCTGCGCAGGAACTTCTTTGCGCTCGACGGCCTCCAGTGTTTCCACCCGAGCCAGTCTTACCGCTTCCTCCAGAACGCCAGCGGCAGGTCCGGCTTTGTGTCGGTCCCGCTGGAAACGCTCATCGACCTCAAGTACCAGACCAAGGACTTTGACCGCATCGTGCCCCGCACCAACGCCCACGTCTTCTACGACAAGTTCAACAAGGTGAGCTGCCGCTGATGCCGTACACGCTCCGGCCGACATTCCCCGCCGCCGCCGACTGACCCGCCCGCCGGCGTCTCCCCTTTTATGCAACACACAGCTCCGCCTGTCCGACTCGACCCGGACCGTGGCGGCACTCGACGAAGACGGCGAGCCCAAGTACGACCACCTGTATCACCGCATGGACGTCATCCGCCTGCGCTGCCCGAGGTTTACCGTTTCGGCCAACCGCGACCATTTTGCGGCGCTGTACAACGTGGTCACGGACCTGATCCTCTACCGCGACCCGGTCCACCGCGACCATGCCAAGCGCCTCGAGGAGATCATGTTCAGCCACGACTTTACCGAGGTGTCGGGCCTCTCGGAGGTCGTCTCGGCGCTCCAGGATCGCATCCGCGACACGAATGACCTGGCGCGGCAGTACTACGAGAACCTCGACCGTCTGACCGAGCAGGGCCGCCTCGACCTATACGCCCTCGCCGGCGAGATGGTGGATCTGCTCGACGAACTAAACCTCATCATGGAGGCCATCACCGAGGCGCAGGACAGCAAGGGCGGGGCCGATCGCGAAAAGAAGTCGGCGCTGCGGTTCGACGCCTGCGCCAAGGACCTCTCGTGGAACATGATGGGCGACGACGACGGCCAGATGCTCGCCAAGCTGGCGCTTCGCGGCATCAGCTTCGCCTGGCTCAACAAGGCCGACAACTCGGCGTCCAACACGCTGTCGCTGCAGGACCTCCAGGCCCTCAGCGTCCGGCCCGATGCCGTCTTTGCCGAGATCATCACAAAGTACCACCGGGCGCCCAACCATCCGATGGCCAAGGCGGGCCGCTTCCTCGACGCCATGTGGTCGGTGCTGCCGCCCGTGGGGGGCATTTCGATCATCGACTACTTTGAGCTCAAGCAGCACCCGGTCCGGATCCAGGTCGAGATGCGCGTCGGCCGCCAGATCCAGGACTACATCTTTGGCTCGCAGAAGCAGCGCAAGGAGGAAGAGGACCGACAGAAGCGGATCGAGTCAGAGGAGCGGAAGCGCTCGGAGCAGTCGGCGGCCAAGAGCAAAAAGTCGCCGCTGGCCCGGCTGCTCCTGGGCCACTCGAAGAAGTCGAGCCAGAAGGAGGAGCCCCGCTCCCAAGCGTCGTCGGTGCCGGCGAGCGCGTCCGCCTCGACCAGCGACCTGGCCTCGCTCGATCGCGAGTCGCTCGACAGCATGGACACCCTCGGCGCCGAGGACGACGATGACTTCGACTCCCGGAGCCACCATTCGGGCGGCAGGCGGTCGGCGATCAACCAGCAGACGAATTCGAGCGTCATGAGCAAGGACAGCTCGCGCTCGCGTCCCTCGACGCCGGCGACCAAGGCCTCGCACGGCTCCGACGACGAGGACGGCGCCGGCGATCAGATCGCCATCGCCCGCCGCAACGCCGCCGAGATGCGGAGCCGAGCGGCGGCGTACCGCACCTTTGTCGACGTCACCTTCAAGGAGACGGTCATCTGCCTCTCGTACAAGGGCGAGAAGCAGAAGTCCATCACCGACCTCTACGACGTCGTCTTCCAGGCGCCCCGGTTCGGCGTGCACAACCGCACCTTTGGCTACATTGACCTGGCCGAGGCCTTCAAGAAGGAGGTGTTCAAGGCGGCGTGGGCGCAGAAGACGACGCTGCTAAAGGGCGTGCTGACGCACAAGCCGCAGCGGCGCAAGGCGGCCATCGAGCACATCAAGGCCATCCGGCACGGCAAGAGCAAGGACGTGCTGTCGCCGTTTGAGATCCAGGTGCAGCCGCCGGCGCCGGACGGATCGAGCCTCTCGACGGCGTCGTCGCTCGGCCTGACGAGCTCGCCGGCCGAGGTCGAGTACGCCTCCGACGACCAGCGCGACTCCGATAGCGAGCGGGCCAGCTTCGACGATCCGCCTCCCGTCAGCATCGTGACGACCTCGGCCGACGGCGACCCCTCTTACGGCCGTAGAGACCATGGCGAGCACGACGACTACGGCGGCGGGGGCGGCCATGACAGCAACGACGACCGCGACGACGAGAACCATCGCCGACGCCCCGGCGGCGAGCTTGGCGGCGGCGACGACATCACGCCGCGCCCGACGCGGACCATGTCGTCGATGCTATCTCCGCCATCGTCAATCCGGCACGGCTTCGGCGGCAGCCCGTCGTCGTCGTCGAGCCAGCAGCACGGCGGCACCAGCCCGGCGTTCAAGCTGGGCAAGTTTCTCAGCCGTAACTTTCGGCATCGCGCCGAGTCGGCGTCGGGCAGCATCTCGTCGAGCCGCACCGTGTCCATGTCGCGCAACGGCTCGGCGCACACGGGCGAGGGGAGCCTGTCGCCCTCGTCGAGCAGCGGCAGCCACCACTCTGGCGAGCGGCTGCAGCGCCGCACCTCGGACCTCGGCAGCGATAGCGGCGAGAGCGCACGCCGTCTCGCCCCCCCGCCGCTCGTCGAGGCCATGCACTGGGGCTCGGTTAGGACCCAGCGCGCCGGGTCGGTCGATGCGGCCAACCTCATCGATCGGTCCGGGCCCAGTGGCGGCAGCGGCGGCGGCGGCGGCACGTTGAGAGGTCTCCTCCCGCGAAGGAGCAGCACCAACACCGTCGAGCCCGAGTCGTCCAGCCCGTCGTTGCGCCATGCCGACGGCGACGCCACCGTGCGCGACCGCAAGAGGTCGCTCTTCGACAACCCCTTCGGTTCGGGCCAGCCGCACTGATCGATGGGGTGCAGCGCTGAGCGGGAGCCAAAGTGACCGGGCCTGTCCGGATCTTGCGCAATGTCGGGAAGCGGTGCCGTATGTGCACGACTGGTTAACGCGATGTCATCCTATCTACTAGGCCGGGTTCTATGAGGTCCATCTTTGTCATGTCCGTCCACCCAGCTGTGCGAGGAGCAGGCCAGGCCGTCGTCGATACGTGCCGCCTGTCGACCTCATCTCTGCGAAGCTCCGGCCGCCTGCTGGTTCAGCAGCGTGTAGACTGTCGTCGTGGTTGGCAAACGAGGGGAGAAGTAAAGGTCAGTCACCCATCAGGGCTAGGTTCCGAGCGCTCGACGACGGTCCGGGCACCGGCACTCACTCTCGGCCTCGACGCGACTCCGGTGGCTCTCGAGGTCGGCAGCGTCGAGCGCTTCGATCCCTTCGCCCTTTGTCCACGTGCTGGCGGGCCGCGAAGCACCGCCGCCGCCGCCGCCGCCGCCGGCGTGGTCCATGGCCTGGAACTCGAACTTGGCCGAGTCCTTGCCGCGCGCCAGTAGGTCGAGGAGCGAGGCGAGCTGGGCGTCGTTGTGGTAGACGATGCGCGTGGGGCTGATGGCCTCGTCGCGGTCGTCGAGCTGCGACGGCGACGTGGCCATCTCAAACACGGCCTGGCTGCCCGAGCGCGCCGTGTCGCGCGACGACGACATCGCGCTGTCCACCGTGGTGCTGCCAGCACCGCCGTCGACGCCGCCGCCATTGGCGTAGGTCGACGGCGGCCGCAGAGTCGGCGGCAGATTGGGCATCGGCGGCGCCTCGGCCGCATCGAACGAGAACGACTTGCGGTGGCCGCGAGGCCGGGCAAAGAAGCTGCGCGAGTCCTCGTTCGTGAGGCCCGCCGGCGTCCGGCTCGCCTCGAACTCGTCGTAGTTTTCGCTGATCATCGAGTCGCGGTTGTTAAAGTCGGGCATCAGCAGGCTGTCGCGGTCGCGCGGGAGGAAGCCGTTGCTGCTCGACCGGCTGTGCCGGCTCTCGTAGTCGCTGTAGACGCTGCCGCGGTCGGCCAGGCCGGCCACGACCTGCCACACGACGCTGCCGTCGGCGCGCTCAGTGACCTCGATGTGTCGACGTGGCTCGGGCATCCTCGAAGTGCGGTCGCCGGGCCCACCGAGCAGCATGCGAGAGCTTCGCGATCGGCCGTCCTCAGAGAGGGCGTTGCCCTCGCTGCCATCGTCGCCGCCGATGTACATGTCGTACAGGCTTCCGGCGTACGAGCTGTTGAACTGCGACTGGCGCTGCGTGGCCTTGCCGAACCCGGCGGACGCCGAGGCAGGCATGAGGCTCTGCTGAGAGTTGAGCGTCGCCATGCCGACCGAGGTCGACGAGGGCAGGGTCGGCAGATCGCCGCTCGTCCCGCTGGCACCGTTCGAGGCGTTGACGGGAGGCGTCGAGGTCCGGCCGACCGAAGAAGGCTGCGGGACGGCGGTGCCGAACGAGGTGCCCGAGTCCTTGGACGCCATCGACTCGTCGGCGCGGGCGAGGCCGAGCGAGGAGCTCGAAGGCGTCATCGCCGTGTTCCAGGGCATCTCGTCGGGGAGGAAAGGCGCAGGCTTCTTGGATTTCCGCCTCGAGGCCGTCGACATGGTCGACTTTCTCCGGTCCTCGAAGTTGAAGTCGGTGGGGATGATGATGGTGCGGCGCACGATTGTGTCCCGGAGAGACTTGCGCTGGTCAGCCTTGCGCCTGCTGTCGGCGTTGGGGCGGGGGGAGGTCCTTGCGGCGGACGAGTCCGTTGAGCTGGGCTCTACGGGGACGGGGCTGGCAATCTCGAGTCTGGGAGCAGGCTCGAGCACAGGCTGAGCGACGGCGACGGGCGGAGCATGCGCCGGCTCTTCGGAGCCTCGCTCGTCGCTACTGGCCTGCTTGTCCGCAAAGGCTGCGGCGGCGACGGCATCGGCCTCCCAGCGGTCCTGGATGGGCATCGACGAGGCGGAGAGAGACTCGGGCATGCCCTGGGGTTGCCGGTCTCCGGGCACACCTTCTCGGGGAGCCTCGGCTGTCGGTTCGGCCTCGGTCGGTGGGCCTGTGTTGCCGCCAGATGGGCTGTTGCCAAAAGTCTGCTCGCTGGCGGCTGCCGACCTGATGGGCTCTGACTCGCCGGCCATGAAGACTTCCGACTCGGGCTTGAGCACGATCGGGGTCCTGTACTTTTTGCCAGAGCGATTGGGCATGGACGTCGAGTCGATGCGGGGCAGCGGCTGGTTGGGCGAGGTTGGTGACAGGAAGCTCTGCTTGCTGCGCAAGCTGGGCGAGCGTAGGCTGTCGTGCCTGGGCTCGGGTGACTTCCAGGACGTCGGTGACCTGTTCGGTTGCGTCTGGGGCGAGACGATCGGCAGGGCCGTCGTCGACTTGCTGTGGCCGAAGCTGCTGTTTGACGGACTGGTCGGGAAAGGCTCGATCGTGGCGGCGACTTCTGACGTCTTGCGAGAGCGAATCTTGGACATGAATCGCGAAAGACCACCGCCCGCGCTGTTGTTGCTCGTGCTCCTGGATGCGGACAGACTCTGGCCATGTCGTTGCCCAGCGCTTTCGGGTCGAGGGCTGGCCGTGGGCGAGGCGCCCATGAACGTCACATCGGGAGGAGCGGGATGGCCCGTCGCGGAACGTTGCTGCTGCTGCTGCTGCTGCGCCCATTCGCCTCCCTCGCCGTGAGCTGAATTGCCAAAGGAACTCGAGCGTCGACGATGCCCGGCTCCTGCCGGCCGTCCGCCCATGGCCGGCAGCGGGGGCACATCGGGGATCGATCCGCCGTCGTTTGACGACATCATGTTCCAGATCGGAGTGCGAGAGCTCGACGCCGATCTTTCCGGGCCAGGGATGCTGATGACGTGATCCATCCTTTGCGTGGTTGAGATGAGCTGCGGCGACGAAATCTGCTTGCTGACTTTGCGGAAAGACTTCCTCCTCGCGATCGACTTGGTGCGGAAGGGTGGCGTGGGGGCCGATCCGTCGTCGATGCCCTTGAGGGCTTTGGTCGCAGCACGGGCCTGCGCGGCGACGTCGTCGATGAGCTGCGTCCTGTCTGGACGGAGATAAGCGTCGTCGGGCCGGTTCTCGCCCGGATCCGACCATGCAGTCTGCGGCGAGGCGGGGCTTCGGAGCAGATTGTTGCTGTTGCCTTGGAGAACATTGTGCGATGTGCTGCGCGGCATCCCACCAGCTTGGCTCGCTTCGGCATGGGTGCCATTGCCAAAGTGGCCGTAAGGATGCCTGTCGAGATTCTCATTGGTGGCGGCGGCGGGGTCGAAGCCGATGGCCTCCGCATAGCCGATGGACTTGTCGGCGCTGGTGTCGGCCTCGGAGGCAGGAACGTGCAGGTCCTGCTGTGCCTCAGGAATCGGGGCGCCGGACGCGATGCTTTGATGGTCGAGGGCATCCGAGCCATGGTGCACCGACTCGCGATCGCGCCACAGCGATTGATCCGCGGACGTCGAAGACATCGCCGAGTACGTTCCCGCCTGCTCCACGGCCTGCACGAGAGAGAGCGACTGCCGGTCGGATTGGCCCGCGAAGGAGGCGCTGAGGTCCATCAAGGTCGGCAGGCCCGTCGACGTGGGGCGGGCGGCCGCGGGTGGTGGCGAGGTCGGGCGGTGACTCGTGGTCACGTCGTACATAACCTCGCTCTTCATCGCGCGCGAGGAGCCGTGGGCGCTCGACGAGGCCGGGCTGGCAGCGAAGGACGGAAGTTGGACCCGCGGCGATGCCTGCTCGGCAATGCGGCTGTAGAGGCTGGCGTGACCCGGTGAAGACGTGTATCCGTGTGATCGCTGATCGGCTGCGGCCCTAGCCCGCTCGCGAGCCCGCTCGAGGCGAGCAGAATCGACTGAGGCGCCCACGATACTGCCTCCGCGGGACGCCGAGGACGAAATGGACAGCGGGCTCGTCGGTCCCGGCTGCGCACTGAAGGCGGACACTGTCTGATTGGCCGGTGTCGTCGGCAGAGGCGGAGGCGGAGGCGCTTGACCCGCATGTGCGGATTTGACCAGCTGGTCCTGGAACGTCGCCAGCTGGTCGAGCGTCACGCCTGCGTTCGCCAGATGATCTTCAGCCGCTGAAGGTGGGAACGTTGACACCGGGCGCGCATCCTGCCCCGTTCCGCTGGACAGAGCTTGGTCCATCTGGGCCCACAGGTCTTCATCTTCGGCCACCTGAGTGTCTGCCCCGGGGATCGCTCCTTCGAGACCGTCGTCCCGAGTCGGCTGGGCACGCTGTGCGCTCGCGACGAGGTCGCTGGCGTACGTAGCTTTCCATGCCTCTGTCGGATCCACGCTGATGGCCACCTCTCGCTGCCTCGATCGCTGAAACGCCGCAGGCTCGCCACCTTCAGAATTGCTTGCGCGCGTCAAAGGGTCCGGCAGCGTCCCCGCCGCCGTCGATTCGCCGACCGCGGAGACGGTCGCAGCGCCGAGCAGCGGGGACGGATCGACTTGCTGCGACTCAAGAGTGTTGCTGGCTGAGCGCGAATGGCTGGCCCGGGCGGTCCCCGCGGGCGCCGGCGCGTGATAGTAGCTCGTTGGTCCTGTTTCGGTCGATGTCTCAGGACCGACACCCAGCCCCGGCGAGAAGCCAGGGGCGCTCAGCATGTAGGGCGAGGCATCGCTCTCGCGGGTCGAAGCAGAGTCGCGGGTCCTGGCCGCCCACGAGTTGTACGGGCTGCCGTTGCCGCTGCTGCCGAACGTTCGTGCCTTGGGACTGGTCGCCGAGGCCGCTGCGATGGCGGCGGGAGAGACGGCCGAGGCGGGCTTGAACCCAGCGGCGTAGCTCTGCATGGAGGCACCAGCGGATGGAGGCGGGAAGTAGTTTGGGGATCGAGCCGTGCGGCTCAGGACCGGAACCGGGCTCACGACGCCCGAGGATCGTGGCGACATGCCAAGGTGATCCTGGGACGAGGCCGTTGCAGAACGGCTGTGCTGGCGGTAGTGCTTCCGGACGTTGCTGAGCGAGTTTTGCTCTTCCAGCACGCGGCTCGAGCCTCTGCTCGAATCCTTCCGGCCTAGAGAGTCGTTCCGCGAATGACCGGAAGCGACGGATGCCTTCCGACTGTGCAGGCCGCTGCGAGGAGACCAAGCATCTCCCAGCGAAGTCATTGCGGACCCAATGCCGGTCGCTGCGGAAGCGGCGATCACCGTCGAGTCCCCGGGCGCTTCAGCGGGAGAAGTCGAAGCTGAACCGGCGGATGGGTCGGCTCCGTACAGGGAATCCGCCTGTCGCGTGAGGCCCGAATCGAGGCTTTGCGGGAAGGGTGCTGCCGCGTACGGCAGTGCGCTTGCGAGGCGATCTTCTGCGACGGCGCCGGACGCATCCGTCGGAGTGACGACAGGAGTAGTGTCTTCGCCCCGGTCCCTTGCTGTCAGCGTCGAAGTCCTCGGTGCTGCCCCAGTTGCGTCGTTGTCCTTGATGGTGAGGTTGCTGTCGGAAGCAGGCACGAGGGGGAACGTGGGTCCCAGGTCAAGAGCACCGAGGCCGAGCCCGCCACCTTCGATGTGGACATCCTCGAGATGCGCAAAGGACGACTGGGCGGGTCGGTCTTCTACCTGCGGCGCTTGCAAGGAGGCACCGCGCACTCCGTCTCGAGGCGAGGCGTTCTTGCCATGGTGCGAGACGGCCGAGGTGAAAGAGCCTCCGTCGCTGTCCACGGACGGCCGGTTGCGGTCCGGCTCGTCGCGATCTTGCGGTCGGGAGCGAGCTTCGGCATCGGATGCAGTGGCCGCCATCGCATCGGGGTCGTCGCGGGGCTCTGACTGCTGCGACGAAGACCTTTCGAGGTCGAAGTGCGAGCGGACCGGAGTGCTACCGGCCGACTTGATGCTGCCCTCTGCGGCCATGATGCCAAACACCTCCTCCAGCGCAGTAGAGACCCTCTTGAAGGCCTCCGGCGAGAGGCTGCTCAGGAGCTTCGACTGACGAGCACCGGCTGCGTCGAGCGCGGCGGCTTCTGCTCGTGTCGATGAGGGGACGGAGAGGAAGCTCGAGCCCTTTGCTGCCGGGCCCTGCTCGACGTCGTCCAAGGCGACTGGCGGCTCGAAGCCCTCGAACTTCTGCTGCGAAGCCCGACGTTCTGCGGCCATAAAGTCGCCTGGCATCGCGGCCTCGGCCGAGGACGTCTCTTCCGTCTCGGACTGCTCCTCGGCGGCTGCGAGCTCGTCCGACCCCTCTCCAGGTCGTTCAGCCTCAGACTGACCGGCTGCCTTCGCTGCGCCCTCTGCCTGAGCGAGCTCGTCGTCCTCTTCGACGGGATCGGCGGCCTCGCTGACGGCCTCGAGCCGATGCTCCTTCCTCTCCTTGTCCAAGGTGCGGAAGTAGGCCATGTCGCGCTCAGAGCTGCGCCCTGAAAAGAGACCGCCGCCGGATTCTCCGCGCCGCGAGGGAGAAGAGAGTTGAGAGTTGTAGCTGACGTCGCCATCGAGGCTCTTCGAAGATGTGCTCCGAGTGAGGTCGCCCAGGCTGTCCGCGATGCTCTGGAGATTGCTGCCGGCGCTGTACTGCGAGCCGCCCCACGAGCCGAAGCCGTCTGTTCCGGAAGCGTAGCCGCTGCTCCACAGCTCGGGACCCCGAAACTTGTCGGCCTCAAAGTCTCTGCCCTCGGCCTTGGCTTGGAGCCGCAGCTGGTCGATGATCTCGTTCTCCTCTTCTTCGGTCAGAAAGTGGTGGGCGGCCATGCCGTTGGGAGCGTTGGCGCCACCGGTGGCCCTGGCCCTGGCCCTCTGCGCTCGGAGGTGAGCTCGCATGGCGTCGGGCGAGAGGAGCGTCCCATCCGGCGCACGCAGCAGCGTGAAGCGTCGAGTGAGATGGGGCATGATGAGCGATTGACTGAGACGGGCGGAAAAGATGACGGACGAATCGGCGGAGGTCAGCATGTTGGCACGTCAACCATTCGTTGCATGACGGATTCGACTCGAGGCACTCACCCTACAGGTTTCCGGCACAGATCACAGAGAGGAGGCCCAACGTTTAGCTGACAGGGTACAAGGGTCCGGTCTCCACTCTAGGTCTCGAGCGGCGCTTGGTCTACTCACGATAGTCGGAGGTAGGGGGCAGCACGGTGTCAAGACTCTGCTCCTTTTCCGCAGCAGAGGCGTCGTTGGCAAGGGCTTCGTTGCGCTGCTGAGGTGGTGCAACGGAGATGGTGATGCCGGCAGGAGACTGCAGCGTCGGACGCTGTCCATTCGGTCGGTCCGCCGACGCCTGCTGCCGGCGCTGCTGGAGCTTCTTGAAAGGGTTCATCATCGTGACCGGATCGGCTCTGGCGCTCGGCCAAGAGTTGTGGTAGCAGGGGACCAGGGGCAATCACAGAGATACAAGGCCCCTGTACTGATCTCTGAACGATGGGTTGCGTCTAAGCGGGCGGCCGAGGGCCGGATGCTGAGCCCGTTGAAGACGGCGTGCAGCGTCGTTGGAGTCGTAAACGCCTGGTCCTATGCTTGGACTTGGAAGTGCCGGACGTCGAAGGCTGTGGCGCAAAACATTGATAGGCGGAACACGACGCTCTCGCAAGACTGGCGAGAGGGGCGGGAGGGTCGATGGTGTTTCGGACGGACGACGGCGGGCGTGGCAGGAGCGTCGTCGGTGCCGTCCCGTCCAGTCGAGCACCAGTGAGTCGTGACCGTCGGAGGCGCTGTCGACAGGAATGCGACAGGCCTGCGCAGGGCAGAGGTACGCTGAGGTAGACGAGAGAGTAAGATCGGGCACGGGAGCTCGGCCGACGGTGATGGTGATGTTGGTAGTCGAGCGTGAACACACTAAGACTGAAGGCAGGCCGGCCGGCTGGCTGGCTGGCTTGGATGGACCTTCGGCGGCTTGGGCCCTTTTTCAGCATGCCCGCCGCGCCATGTGCCGAAAGCTCAAGCGTGCTCACCTGCCACCTGCCCATCTGCCGGCGCGCCCATGGACGTCCTCGGGCCCATCCGAGCGGGGAAAAAGAGGCCGAGAGCGAGTGGCCCGCGCCAAACAATAAAGCAACCCCTCTGGTCTGATCTCCCCCTTCTTTGGCCCCTAAACCCGCACCTCGAGGAGGACGGGGTGGCGAATGCACAGCAAGATTGGGCATCGCACTGGGCTCGCTCCCAGCATTGCCATCCAGGCCGATCCTCCAAAGGTCTGGATCGGCGGGTCCAGGCTGAATGGCTGCAAGCAGGGGTCTGGCAGCAGAGCAACAATGGGACAGCTAGGACATTCTCAGACGTGGAGCCTTGCAGCAGCAGCCTGGGCGCGGCCATTCTGGGATGGATACTGAGGAGCCAGTTTGCCCAGTTGCCGTCCTCTGCGGCGCAGCGCTTGCAGAACATCGCCATAGCTCCTCGTCAAACTGCGAAGGCCACCGACAGCACCCGTCGAGGTCGAGATGATGTGCACGCGGACGCTGCGTCCGCCGTCTAAGTCACAAGTCGAGGCAACATTCCGATGCGCAAGAGCAGGACCTGCTCTGCAGGCCGGTTCGTCGCACCTTCGCGATCCACGCTCTGGCCGCAGCTGCGGCGGCCTCGGAGCAGGCTGTTACGCGTCGTCGAGGGGGGCCCCGGACGTGTCGGATCCACGCCACGGCCAGACTACTCTGCTTTTTTGCGCCGTCACTTTGTCGCATCCTGACCAGGCGTAATGTAGGGCATGCGAGGTCGATCGCCATGCCCGCCCGCCGCAGCGCTGGCCTCCGAGTGGCCCTCCCGGTCGAGCTGCTCGGCTCTCTCCAGCGCTCGACCACCCCGGACGAACGAAGGCAGTGCGGCAACGTTGGGACCCTGCACAGCGCGTAGAAGATGACAAGGTGTAGGGGATCCAGATAGAGCATCAGCCGGAGTGCGTGTATGTGTGTGTGTGCGTGCGTGCGTGTGTGCGGCGCAACACCGCAGCAACCACGCCGCCTCGACCGGTACCAACCTTGGTGCCCGCGTCGGCCCCGGAGCTGTTGGCGGCAGACGGTTGCTGCTGCGGCTGCTGGGTGTTGGAGCTGTCCGACATGGTGTCCTTGCTTGACTCTGTCTTGCCTGTTTTTCTGTCACACGCGTTGCCTCTCTACCTCGTCGAGCGACCGGAAAGGAAAGGCTGAAGATGGTGGTCGGAGACCAAGAGGACGGTGGCCTGACATCCACCGGAACGACGACTGCCGTGCGGATTGCAAGCGAGCCTAAAGGCCTGGGCAACCGGGGTCCAGGTCAATGGTGCCAGAGCGACGACGCACAGCGGATCGCATCCGAAGACCCGGCCAGCGCAGGCCATCTGATGCTTGCAGGCAGCACTGCCGGGGCTGGAGCAGTCGAGCTGGTACTTGCAGGCAAGTCAGAGCAGCACGAATTGTAGGATCGTCTCGCCCAGCGGAAGCTGTCGGTTCGCTCCGGAGAGAGGGCCGGCCTCGGTGGCACGGTTACGGCCAGGCGTAGAATGTCGTGCTGTGGAGGTCTGCGGTCTGCGGCTCAGCCGTGAAAGGCGCGGCCAGGCCAGTTAGAGTATCGCTTACGATCCGATGCTGGCCGCCCGCCGCTCTTCCTATCATCAGACCCTGAGTTGCCCGCTCGCAAGGACGTGCGTACGACTGGAATGGTGTGAGCCCGCTGCGACGGCGGGACGGCCGCATGGCCGCCATCGACAGAGACGGCCAGAGACAAGTGTGCGTGCGGTGCTCATCAAAGCAAGCAAGCTGCGATGGAGGCTTCGGCGAAAGAGCGGTGACTCGGTCGTCGGCAGTTTGCCGGGCAGTCAGGAAAGACACGCAAGGCGGGGGCAGGCGCCGAGAAGAGGGCGCAGCCAGGGCCAGGCCTCGCCTCGCCTCGTCCCGGAAGGCGGGGCACGGAAACGGCATCCGCCGCCGCGCGATTACGCCAGGAAGGCCGCCTCGGCGGGCCACGAGGACTGGATTGAGTTGCCAGGCAAAGGCGGCGGCGGCGATCTGCCTCCAATCCACCAGTCCTCCGCCCGACTCCCCGCCCGTCCCAAAGGTCACATCCTCGCTCTCGCTCACCACGACCAACGACCGTCGACCTCTCGGCCGCCTCCATTCGTGCAAGAGATTGCTGCCGCTGCCACCACGCTGCCACCCGCCTGCTCAATCTGGTCCTAGAATCAAAAGGAAAGGCCCGATCCCGAGGACAGGACCTCTACCCGCTCCCAGCTCTACAAGGTCTTCCGTCCGCCATCCATCCGTGCCAGAAACTCATCCGATCAACAGCTGCCTCTGCTGCAGCTCTCTCGACTCGTGCTCTGGAAGCAAGGGGACCGATCTCCGCTCGTCGATCGCCCTTAAACCACCCTCGTCGCTGCCGACAACACCGCCATCGGTTCCTTCCGTCGCCTGGCTCGTCTCAGAACCCTTCCGCCTGCCTCCCTGACTGAGACCAGACGCCCCCAACACGCTTGCAAGCTCCTCTTTATCGATACAGCCAGCCATGTCGCGGCAAGAGGTGAGTGCGCATGGACACGGCATCAGCCGGACCGGCCGGCTCGGTCCAGTCTGCCCCACACTTGGAGCAGTGTGACCGAAGTGAAAAAGGCGGAAGTGCCCGACTGACCGTCGGCGCTTCCCGTTGTGTCGTCCCTACCGTCACGCTTGCCCCTCTGCGCCCGCCCTGCAGCCCACGGCGCCGATGCCGCGGATGACAGACTCCCAGAGCGGGCCAGGAGGTCCCCAGTCGCTCAAGTTCGCCGCCCTCTCCGTGCAGTCCTACCACCTCGACAGCCCGCCCTTCACTGGAGCGGCGGTCGGAGGCAAAGGGCCTCTGGACGAAGCAGGGCAACAGATCCTGGACGCACACCACGCTGCCGGCACCGAAGCACACCCGAGCGGCAGCAGAAAGGCCGCATCCAGCCCTCTGGCCCGGTCCAGGAAGATGACGGCCGACGGCGACGATGACCCCTACACACGCTCCCTTTCCCAGAGCGGGTCCTCGCAGAACCAGCACCCCGCCAGCGCCAACGCGTCGCAGCAGGCCAGCCTGGACGTGGCAGGGAGCGGTCAGCGGCAGAGGGACGGAGACGTGCCCGACTGGGACCTCGATGGCAAGACGATCTCGAGGGAGGGCAGCTCCACCAGCCTGGCCACCCTCGGACCCCGCAAGGGCTTCTCGGCTATGACGCCGACGGCATCTGTCGCGACGACGGCGGTGACGACCAACGGCATCGTTGCGGCGTCCGCCTCCGGGGACGGTGCCTCCAATGCCGGCCCTAGCGTATCATCGAGGCCGAGCGGATCACGAAGGACGAGCCCATCGGGTCAGCGGCCCACGCTCGAGGCGAGCGGCGACGGCGATGCGGGGCGTCCTGACTACACGCAGTTTTCCGAAGACGTCGACGGGCAGGAGGATGCGGCATCGTCGGCGACGGGTATGGACGAGGAGGTCGACGGAGACGAGGGCATCGTCTTCCGCGGCGGCAAGCTGCGCGACGGGCAGGTGCCGCGCCAGGGCCAGAGCAAGGAGGAGTACAGCTTCCCGCGCCACCGGCTGCCCACGCGCATGCGCGACGACTCCAAGACTCCGCTCGTCATTGTCGCCTGCGGCAGCTTCTCGCCGCCCACCTACCTGCATCTGTGAGTTCGGTGCGTCGGCCATGTCGCGCCGTTGCAGCGGGGGAGTCGCTTCGCACCGTTGCAGCAGAGGGATCCCGATTGCTGACGTGCCACCTTCTCCGTCCGCTCCCAGGCGAATCTTTGAGATGGCCAAGGACCAAGTCGTCGAGTCTGGCAAGTATGAGCTGCTTGCCGGATACTACTCGCCGGTATCCGACTACTACAAGAAAGAGGGGCTGGCCAAGGCGACGCACCGAGTGCGGATGTGCGAGTGAGTCGCACGTGGAGCGAGGCACGGCAGGCCAATGACCGCCGATCCCTCTGCAACGAGACGCTGAACGCGTTGGGCCACGCCACTGTCCAAACCCTTGCCCCCTCATACGCGCAGGCTCGCCGTTGAGAAGACGTCGACGTGGCTGATGGTGGATGCGTGGGAGTCGCTGCAGGGCGAGTACCAGCGCACGGCGGTGGTGCTGGACCACTTTGATGAGGAGATCAACGGCGGGCCAAACGGCGGCGTGCTGCTGAGCGACGGGACGCGGAAAAAGGTCAAGATCATGCTCCTCGCCGGCGGAGACCTGATCCAGAGCATGGGCGAGCCGGGCGTATGGGCGACGGTTGATGTGAGTGCCACCCCCGCGTCTTTTTGGGCCCCAACTGCCGCCGGTCGAATGGTGTCCCCGGGCAAGGTAGGCTGACCCCCGCTTCCTCGTCGTCCTCCCCACACGCCCGCCTCGCCTGGCCGCGATGCGACCGCAGCTGCACCACATCCTGGGCCAGTACGGCTGCCTAATCGTCGAGCGGACGGGCGCCGACGTATGGTCGTTTTTGATGTCGCACGACCTGCTGTGGAAGTACCGGCGCAACCTCAAGATTGTCAAGCAGACCATCTACAACGACATTTCGTCGTCCAAGGTGCGCCTCTTTGTCCGGCGCGGACAGAGCATAAAGTACCTCCTCCCCAACAGCGTCATCAACTACATTGAGCACAACGGCCTGGTACGTTCCCCTCGGTGCTCCCTGCTCTTTGCTCGTTGCTTTGGGAGGCGATACGATGCGGCCCAGATCGAGATTGAAACTGATACCATTGTCCCCTCTCTTGATTGGGTCTCGACCGACGCCAATACGATCGCGCAGTATCGACTGCCAGACGAAGACGCACTCGCACCACCCATGGATACCAACTGGTAGCCCCGCCCCGCCTTCCTTTGCTCCACCATCCATCCATCCTTCATCTTCACCACCGTGTACTTGCCATCCTTGCCCGCCAAGCCCTCGCACCGGGGACTGGTCCATATGCGGAATTGCACAAGCGGCGCGCCGCCCTACGGGCCGCCCGTACTTGGCCTACATCCAAGTCACGAGCCGGTCGATCGCTGGCATAGGAGGGAGTGAGATGGGAATTGCGATAGAGTCGGTCCCCCCCTTTTTTTGCGAATCGCTTCGTCGTTCGATGCCGGGAGATGATGTTGGTGCTAGCCCCCACGGCACGACGGGTCTCAACGACGACGATCTCTCGGATCGTCGTACCTCTCCCTGCCCCTCGAGTACGATCCCTCGTCGTACTCTGGCCGCCTACCGCCCCTGCCATCGTACCGATCTCCGCCTCCGCGAGGTGGCGGCGGGTATCGGTCGTCGTACCTCTCTCTCCGCTCGGCACGGGGCGCATCGTAGCGGTCGTCGTCCCTCCTTCCGCCTCCGTCCCGCCTCGGTTCGCGGGCGGGGCTCAATGAGCGCTCCTTGCCTTTCCCATTCGGCCTCTCCCGTCCGTACTCCTGCCGCGGTGGCGGAGATGGTGATCGAGAGGCGGACAGAGATCGGTCTCGGGTTGGGCGCTTGGCGGGCGGCGGCGAACGCGAGTACGATCTGCCGCGATCGCGAGGGGCGGCAGGAGGCGGGGTGTAGGACCTCGACCTCAACCTCGAGCGCGAGCGCGATCGGGAAGGCGAACGACCCCTTGATCTGCCGTTGGACCGCCTTGGCGGCGTCCTCGAGCGCGAGTAAGACCTCGACCTGCTGCTGTACGACCGCGAGCGCGAGCGGGACCGAGAGTAGCTGTAGCTCCTGGACCTCGAGCGCGAGTCGTACGAGCGGGACCGCGACCGACCCCGCCTCCTGCGCGGCGACGGGGAGCGAGAGTAGCTCGCCGATCTCGACCTCGACCTCGACCTAGACCTCGACCGCGACCTCGACGAGTAGGATCGCGAAGAGTAGGAGCGGCTGCTGTCGCTGAGCGTCGACGAGCTGAGCGAGCTGCTCGACAGGTCGCTCGACGAATCGGTATCGGTGTCGCTGTCGGTGCCGCGGCCCTTTGCCTTGAGCGCCGCCTGGCGCTGGGCCATGAGCAGCTTGGGCGCGTTCTTGAGGTGCTCGCGCATGCCCTCGGTGAGGACGCCCATGCCGATGCTGGTAAAGTAGTTGATCGAGAAGCGCGTGTTCTTGGGGTTGTCGGTGGGGAAGAGGCCGGTCCAGTACTCTTGCATGCTGGGCTCCTTGAACTTGGTCGCCAGCTCCTTGAGGCCCAGCTGCTGCTGCAGCTCCTGGAAGAGGATCTTGATAAAGATGCGCGAGCTGCTCGTGGTGTCCTCCTCGTTCATGTGGACGATCTCAAAGCACGCCCAGCTGATGCTCTCGGTCGCCACCAGGTTGCCAAAGAAGCGCGCAATGTTGCGCAGCCGGTTGGTCTCGTACCGGTGGATCGTGTCGTAGTAGTTTCGGAAGCCCTCCTCGAAGCACTGCGACCAGATGCGGTTGAGCTTGCACAGCCTCTCGCCCATGTTGCCGTAGAACTTGCTGTAGGTGCGCTCCTGCGAGCAGCACTCGACGATCATGTTGCACAGCTCGATCTGCAGGGGCGAAGGCAGCGTCGGAACGCAAGGGGTCAGCTTGCCCGCACATTGGCGCCTGGCACACGGAATCATCTGGTCTCGGTGCATTCTTCACTCACCTCCTGGCCCTCCTTGATATCCAGCCGCAGCAGCTTGTGGATGCTCTCCTCAAAGTCGAGCGACGACATGATGGTCAGGTAGATGGTCCTCCTCAGGTTGACGAGGTTCGTCTCGGTCCGGTCCTGGATGTCGACCTTGGCCTGCAGGTCCTCGGCGTCGTCGCTGTCGCTGCTCTCGCTGTCCGACTCGTCGCCCGACGACGACCCCGAGCTGCCCTCGTCGCTGTCCTCGTCCTCGCCCAGGATCTCGGCCTTGATCTCGCGGTACTTTTCCTCGTTGTCCAGGAAGTCGGGGTCCTTCTTGAACACGTTGAGGCCCTCCTCGACGTTGAGCTCGTCGTCGAGACCGATGCGGTGCGTGATCTGGTCGTCCTCCTCGACCAGGTCGAGGGCCTCGGGGATGCGCGGGTTGTCCTTGAAGCCGTCGCGGCGCACCTGGGAGAGCACCTCGATCATGTACTGGACCCGCTTGCTGATCTCGCCCTCGTACAGGACGGCGCGGAAGCGGTCAAAGATGCTGTTGTTGGCCTTGGGCGCCTCTTCGGCGAGGAAGGCGCCGACCTCGCGCATGAAGCTGACGGCGATCTCGACGCTGTCGTCTGTGGGCTTCTCGAGCAGCAGGACGAGGATCTCGAGGGCGAGCAGCTCGTGCGCCACGCGCTGGTTGACCAGATGGGCTATGAACATGGCGGTCGAGTTGCAGACGGGCTTGTCGTTACGCTTAAACGACCTGCGGAACTGGGAGACGAGGCGCGTCACCAGCAGCTCGCCCACCATCGGCAGCTTGGTATTGACGATGGCGGCGAGGGCGGCAAACACTGGCGTGAAGGGCAGCGAGAGGCCCTGAGCGCGCATGATGGAGCGGCAGAAGAGGCCGCGGCCTCGGATGAGGTTGGCGCCGCCGAAAAGCTCGGGGACGATGTTCTTGATGTTGTCGGCGGCGACCTTGTTGACGAGACCGGTGATGCTCTTCTTGAGCGCGTCCCAGCTCATCCGCTGGTACTCGACGCTACCCGGGTCTGCGGCGGCCGCCTCGGCCATGAGCGCCTTGAGGCGGGCGGGCGGGATGTACGCTCCACCAGCCTTGGTCGCGGAGAGCTTGGCGAGCGCCGACCTCAGCTGCTCGCCCTTTTCGGCTGTGCGTTTCTCTGCCGCTGTTGCCTTGTCCTCCTCCTCGCGCTTGGCCGCAGCCACGAGGGCGCGGCTGCTGCGCCCGTCATCCTTTGCGCGGGCGTCGGGCGAGCGACTGGATCTGCGCCGCCTGGACCGCGGCGGAGGTGAGCGCGAGTCGGAGCGGGACGAAGAAGATGAGGCCGAGGAGAAGGAGGCGGACCTCTTTCGCTTCTGCTGTGGCGATGGCTCTGCTGAGGCCGGGGCGCGTGCAGGAGAGGGGGATGCGGAGGCCGGGCGCGAGGGTGAGGGCGAGCGTGCGGGCGAGGGCGAGCGTGCATCGGGTGAGTCCTTGGACGACATGCTGCCAGATGTGGACGCCGCGACCTGAGGGGCGCGTGGTCTGCGCCGTTCCTACACTCGAGTGGGCGCGAGTGGAATAAGAGAATAGCACAGAAAGACGATCAGGTCGAGAGTTGATGGAGAGTGGTGATGGCGGTGGTGGTGGTGATGGTGATGGTGATGGCGACGGCGACGGCGAAAAGGGGCTCGAGATGTGGGCTTCAGGCAGCCACCAACAGGCAGCTGCTGTGTGGAGTGCCAGGCGCGCTGCTCGTCGACGCCTGCCTTCTGCTCAGCCCCCGTCGGAAAAGGGAAGAAGGGGCGGCCACCAGGAAATTGCTGGCCAGGCCAGGCAGCCGAACGATCGGGCGACCTGTCTGGCGGAACTGAAATCGGCGCATCTCACCCGATCCAAGAGCCGCTCGGCTCGATCACGCCGGTGCCATCATCGTCGTCCCGAATGCGATATCAGAGTGAAGCGGTGGCGGAGCGAGGCGTAGAGTACAAAGGGGAAATGGCAGGGAGGCAGTGGATGGAGGGGGGAGAATGTTGGCCATCGAGGTCGATGATGGACGGACGTGGCCGGCTTGCGACGAACGAGGGGCCCATCTACTTTGCCGCCGGCTGCGGCCCACCCTGGGCGTACATCATCTTCTGGCGCTCCTCGAGCACCCTGCGCTTGTTGAAGTAGTCGATCTGCGAGGCATGCGTTGTCGGAGAAGAGCAGCAGGATCCCATCAGCGTCGATGTCGGTGTTCCGTCTGAAGCGCAAGGAAGCAGGTGTAGGACAGGCCACTCACCCAGCTCCTGGCGCAGTTCTGTTCGTAGCCCTCGCGCTCCTGGATGCACGGATCCGCCTTCCTGGCCTCTTCGACCGATTGGTTCTTCTCGCGCTGCAGCCTCTCCTGCTCCTCCTTTGCGGCCTTGCCAATGGCGCCTCGGCCGTCGCTCATATCCGTGCCCGGCGGGATGGTGACCTTGTTGCGCGTGAGGCAGCCAAAGTAGGCATCGCGGTGCGTCCAGCACGCCTGTCGCTCCGACCGCGTCGGCGCCACCGTCGCCGGAGCGCCAGACGAGCCCGAGTCTTGTGATGAGTTTGAGGAGGAGAACAGCGCCATGGTTGTCGTCGCGGCGGTCGTGTGCGGTCGAGATGGTCGAGATGGTCGAGGGAGGTGGTAAAGGTGGCTGGCGAAGTTGAGAAGAAGCAGCGAGCGTGAGCCGAGGCTGCACGGCCCGCGGGCCAGCCACCGGCCAAAAATCCCAAGTGGAGCTGCCCTCGCGCCCCAGCAAGCAGCTGACAAAGCTTCAGTACGGCTGGGCCATCACTTCGCATCGAGGCTGGGGACACGTCCGGCTGGGATGGGATCATCGGTGGCGATCAGAATACAGCAAAGGAGGCTACAGAGGGAGAGGGGGAGAGGAGAGGCTTGCTACGGACTGATGGCGTCGGGGCGTCCTAGGATGTCTTCAGCTTGCCGGCGGCGGGATGACCGGGGGAGCGCCACCTGTCGTCGATCCAGAGTGCAAGGCCGGACGCCTTTTCGGCTAGCGATCCGATACCCCACCCCACGAGCCTCGAAGCACCTCTGAGGGTGATGGTGGTGCCAGAGACCAGCAGCGATGTGCCGCCGTTGTGGGCTCGTGCGACCGGGGTGAGGGCTTCGGGCAGGAGCGAGTGCAGTCGCGGTGGGACCCACGCATCGACCCTCCGACGGACGATGGCCACGAGGAAGCTGCGGTTGTCCGCTCCGCCGTCCGATCCGTCCTTCGTGTCGTCCTCGCCGTCGACGTTGACGCTGCCAGTCTGACGTCGCCGCATCGTCGACGATCGCTCTGTGACCGACTCGCTGTCGATGAGCTGGAGCTCTCCCACGTCGTGCATCTCGACGTCGAGCTGCGATCGGACCTTGTCCCAGCGCCCGCCCGACTTTGCCCCGCCGCTCGCAAGCTGCCTTCCCTCGTGATGAGGACCACTGCGTCCTCCTCTTCCCAGCCCCGAAAGCGCCGCGAGCAGCTGTTTGAGGCCTTTCGCCTCCACCGTAAGCGATAGCTCCAGCGCGAACGTGAATCGCGTCGTCCGATAGTCCTCGACCAGTTCTCGGAACCTGCAAGGTGCAGCGGAACGAGGTCAAGGGCAGACCAGGCCAAAGGGGTGCCGCGGTTAGCCAGCTGTTCGAACATAGCCGCCGCAGCCCAATGCCACGCGCCGAACGATTGATCGATCGGGGGCAGCTGGTGAGGGCTTGGGCGAACGGAGCACAGGGGTCGACGGGAGCCACTGACCTGACCTACCCTACCATCGACCTCTTGCGTCCACGCAGCCGGACTGTTCGAACGCAAGCCCGCCGAGCAGCATCGCGAGCACGTTGCAGAGGTTTGCAGAGGACGGACGAAGCAAGCATGGTCAGCATCCTCTCCGTGAGAGCAAGGTGACCGCCGAGTATCTTCAACTCACCCTCCTCGAGACGCTTCCGGACCTCGTCCCATCGATTCGGCTTGCCCTTGCCGCCCTTGCGCGACGACGACCTGCGGGTGACCTCCTCGGCATAGCTGTCGAGCACCGTCTTAAACAGGTCCTCGGAGGCCGGGTGGGTCGATGCAAATGCCCTCTCCAAGACGTAGAGGTCGACCGCCTTGTCCTCAGGAAACGCCGAGACCGAAGAGAGCCCAAAGTCGATGAGCACGACTTCGTCGCGTGCCAGGTCGATCACCGTCTTGCCGCCAGCGCCGCCCGAAGCGCGGGATCGGAGCATCATGTTGCTGGTGGTGAGGTCGCCGTGGACGATGTCCGCCTCGTGCATCGTGGCCAGCTGCCGGCCGATGAGCTGCATCAGTTTGACCTGGTCTTCGTGCGACAGCACCTCTTCATCCTCCTCCTCGGCGGTCGCCTCGTCATCATCGCCGTCGACCAGCTCCTCATCCTCCCCCTCAGCACCGCCGCCGAGCCACTCGCGAACGCTCTTGCCGGCGATCAGCTCGAGTCCGAGGATGCCCTCCTTCTCGTCAACGCAGCGGACACCGGGTACCGCGACCCCCGCCTTGGCGCACCTCAGCAGCGCCCGCGCCTCCATGATGGTCCTGGAGGCAGTGATGTTGTCAGACAGGGTGGGATGGCGGTACGTCTTTGGGAAGCGCCACTTGAGCAGGATCGGCAGTCGGACAGGCAGCGTCTGTGCCGCCGCGCGCGAGGACGCCGGCGGAGGCGGCCACGTCAGCACTGAGTCGGTCATGAGCTGCGAGATGTAGACCTTGGCCTCGGCACCTTGCTTGATCAGCTTTGATGTCTGGGCATCGGCGAGCAGCGCAACGAGAGGCGGCGGGGCGGGCTTCTTGAGCACCGACGAGGTCGAGGTCGAGGTCGAGGCCGAGGGGAGGCCAGCGGTTCGTTGTTGAGACGGCGACGAGTCTGCGGCAGAAGCGTTGGGCTTGGGCTTCGTTGTCTCGGGCTGCGTCACCGGGTCTTGTGCTGCGGATGGCTTGGGACCTTGCCTTGCCGACGTCGCTCCGCTGTGGACCTTCTTGGGGCTGGACTCGCCCGTGCCGAGCTGCGCCAAGAGGCCGGCGGCTGATTCCGAGGTGGCGGTCCGGGCGCTGACGACAGACGATCTGCTGGATGATCTCTGCATATCCGAGGAGCCTGCCGGCTGGCTGCTCTCGACCGTCGTGGTGACTGATGTCGATGGCTTGGACGGCGACTGCACGGCGGCGACCTTGATCAGGGTGGGGATCGACGACTTGCGCGAGCGGCTGCCCTCGGAGCCCTCGAGCTTGACGCTGGATCGCGATGTGTTGCTCGAGGTCCTCACCCTGACGTGCGACGACGAGGATGAGGCGGCAGCGTCCTTCTTCTGCGCCGAGGCGAGCCTCTCGATGGCCGAGAGGGAATGCTTCTGGGACGGCGAGGTGCTGGTGCCAAAGGACTGGATGGACGATGAGGCCGAAGAGGAGAGTGCCGCCTCCACCGATGCGTCGAAGCCGGCACCGGTGTCGACCATGGAGCTGGGCCGGGATCTGCTCGCGGGAAAGGCGAGGCGGGCGGGCACCGGTATGCCGCTGTTACTCGAGGGTGCCGAGGCGGCGGCGGCGTCTGACGCCGGCTTAGCCTTTTTGGTCGAGTTCTTGCGGAACATGGTGCTGGTGCGCGGATGTCGTGAGTGCAGGCCGATGGTCCTCTATGCCATCTCCGATGCCGTGTATGCTCGGTTGGGTGGATGGCAGTGGTGACGATGGTGGTGGTGGTTGACCAGACTCTGCCGCCGACTTGGGGTTGTGGGCGCAGGAAGAAGCCTGGAGAGCATCCCTGCCAGGCAGCAGAGGAGCTCTCGTGGGCCACTCCACCTTGCTTGATGGGGACCCGTTCCGAATTGGCCAAGCAATTCCTGGCAAAAATGTCGATCACGGCCCTCGCTCCCTTTGACAACCACCACAACCTCTCATGCCCACGACCACACAGGGCGGCGGACGACGATGCTGATTGTTCAACGAGGCGACAGCATCGCACATAGGCTCTATTTCCATCGATTGGTCCAGGACAACGCGCACAGATCGGAAGGACTCATAAATCAAAGAGGCATGGCCGTCGGTCACAGCTTGAAGCTGGCCGAGTTGTCCACCTGTCGAATGGGAGCCAGAATGTCGGTGGAGAAGACAATCATCGTCAGCCTGACTGGCCGCAAGGAGCAGCGCGGGGCGCGTAGGGCAGCTCACCTTGGTATGCGTGCCGCTGACAGTCTTGACGGTCCGCGTCCAGCCCTTGCCGTCGAGCCTACCCTCACCGTCGTCGGGCTGGCCGTCGGTGCGCTTGACGATCCAGATGTCGGTCTGGAGCAGCGCAATCGACTTGCCCACCTGAGCGCTGTACGATTCGATCTCGACCACGCTGCCAATCGGGCAGGCGTTGAGGTAGAAGACGTTGATGTTTTGCGATACGCCCAGGAACGACCACGGCGACCCGGGAACGCCCGAAGTGTGCAGGTAGAGCTGTGGCGCGGCAACGAAGGTGATGTTGGGGGAACTCAGCTGCGTCCAGAGGCGACAGTCCGGACGCCACCACTCACTGTCATGCTCGATAGATTGTCGACGAGGGTCGCACCACAGCCGCCTGTATCAGCACGAGAAAGAGGTACCGCGGATCGTGATCAGACAACGGAGCGTATCGCAAGGCGTGCCGCGTCCAGACGGCGACCGTGCTCACCGTGCATGTTGCCCATCGAGTTCTCCATCTTGTCCGTCACCCTCATCCGGACGACAGTCTTGGCGTGGATGTCCTTGCGGATGCGGGTGGGCTCCTTGCCGGTGCCCTCGGTGACCATCTCGAGCTTGATGGCGGTGCGATCCGAGGCGTCGACGTGGGCCGCCTCGCGCACTGCCTGTCCCCTCTCGTCGAACCCGATGCGCTCGACGTAGACGAGCGCGGTGCTCTCGGCATCGAGCGCCGAGCCGGAAAAGGCCGGCGCCGTGCCCAGGCTCTCGATCATGTCGGACGCATCCTGCGCTCCGTCGAACAGGCTCTTTGGTTGCGGAACGGGCATCGTAGCGGCGGTCTCAGGCGTTGATTGGGGGTCGGGATGCTGTGTTGGGAAGTGGTGATATCGCAGAGACAAGCAAGAGGAGGAGGCCGATGGCAACCTCGGAAGACCAAAGGCAGGCAGGCAGGCTGGCAAGCACGGGTGCATGGCGAGCCAAAGCCGGTTCGGAACAACTGCTCGCTTTGGTGCCGGTCTCCGGCCGGACCCTTCTCGACTCGTCGAATGCGGGGCGGGCCAGCTGGAAAATCGGTGCAACGCGGGGGGGCCCTGGCCTCGCTAGCAGCCAGGCCACCCAAAAAGCGGTGTGAAAAAGACAGGCACCGACTGCTGGCCACTCTGCACCAACGAGACGGCGGCAGGCAGAGGAGCAAGCAGCTTCCGCCGACGTCACGGCGACGGCAGCAAACGGCGAGGCTCGAGGTCATACCGCACCGACAGCAACGAGGGAACCCGCTCCAACACGGACGCAGCGAGGACTTCAGCGCTCGGAGGAAGTGGCAGAAAATCGCAGACGGTCCTTTTGATTGATATTCAATGCTTCGTCCCAACGCCCTGTCATGAAAGGGCCCGGGTGAGCTCCGTCCCCGGCCTGTCCACCGACAGCGCCGCCTGCCTATGGCGCCGCCTCGTCCTGCACCTCTGCATCGTCGGCGGCCTCTTCGACAATCTCGTCCTCGATCATGGCCGCGGCCATCTTGCCGGCCACCTTGACGCCGTCGCGAGCCGGTCGATAGAGGAGGTCGAGCATCCTCTGCGCCGTGGCCAGGTCCAGGTTGCCGTCCTCGTCGTACTGGACGTCGATCTCACCCTCCTGCTCGAGGTACTTTTCGTAGTCGGCCACCTCGAGGCCCGGTGCGAGCGCCGGTGCGCCCGGCTTGGCGCCCTCGGGTGCGAGCGGGTTGAAGCCCGTGGCGCCGCGGTCGAGCTTGGATGCTGCGGATGCGATCTTGGAGTCGGCAGTGTACTTTGACCTTGTCCACGCGGCCAGGGGGGAAAGGGCCGTCGAGCCTCGCAGGTAGAAGCGCAGCGCCTGGAGGCCCACGAGGAGGACGCTGGTGACGAGGAGGATCGAGAGCAGGCTGCGCAGCCGCGTTGGCTGGCTGCCCGAGGCCGAGCTGGGCCGGGTCGGCAGCTTCTGGGCGCTGCCAGTGGTTGCGAGGGCGCGCTTGTTGCGCTGCCGTGCCGATTGCGAGGGCATCGTGATAGGTCGCCTGAGTCGCCTGGATGGAGTTGCGAGCTAAAGCCTTGCGGAGGTGCGCCGTGGGGAGAGACTTGTTGACGACGTGGGCAGTGGCGGATGGAGGAGGAGGAGGAGGAAGTCGAGGAGGTGACTGGACCTGACCAGCAAGAGGCCGGCAAGGAGGGGAAGGGCCAGCGAGCACGGCGCCTCTTTGCTCCACGTCATCGGACGCTCGTTCCTGGCAGAGGCCTCGAGGCAGCCTTCCAGCTCCACTTTGTGGTTTTCTGAGCCTGCGCGGATCCGAAATTCAGAGGTGGCCGCACAAAGTCGGCTTCGTGGCTCGGACCCTTTCCGCCGCCGCCAGACCTTCCCTGCCGCCCTCGTCCTACTCGTCCTTTGGCCACCTCATTACTGTCCTTTCCCTGCCCCGTCTACCGGTACTACTGCGCCGTGTCCAAAATCGCCATACGCACGCCTCACACAGCCTCGCCACCATGTCGAAACCGCAAGCAGAGGTGAGTCCGGACGACCGCGCGTCGGAGATGGCCAGCTGGAGCCCCAGCTGATCCCCCCGAACCGCGACCATCACCATCACCACCGTCGATCCTCCTCTGACCGACCAGGTGATCCAAGAATGGGCCGATGCCGACTCGGACGGCTACACCTTCGAGCGCGGTCGCATGGAGAAGAACGTCCAGGCCATCTGCTTTGGCGACAATGCCGCCGTGCTCCCCGCCAGCATCGCACAGGGCCCTTCGGCCGGCCTCAAGCTCAAGAAGGAGGACGTGGACTTGCTCGTGAGTGCGGCGCCATCCACGAGGCAGATTTAGGCTCAGGTTCGTCTTCATCTTCGCCGTTTGCCAGGGCTAAATCGAGAACGTCGGACCCTTCATGCTGCTGCTTCCCCTCGCCCTTCTCTCGAGCAGACAAACCAGCTTCTCCTCTCCAGACCAGCAGCGGAGGCGGCGCTCGCCAAGAACGGAGGCGACCTGGAAAAGACGCTCGCAGACGTCGTCATGCCGCCACCAGACTGGTGATCTCGGACGAAGCTAGCCGGCTGGTTTGGTGGCCCTGCGATGCCTGCAGCGTCCGATGTCTATCCCAGCTCAGCCGTTCCCGTTGTACTATACGATCCGGACGAGGCGCAACTTCGAAGCCGGGGAGCCTACGAGCTTGTGCGGGATATCGATTGAGATGTTTTGAAAAGTCGAGCAAGGTGATAGACGCAAACGAGTGGAGACTGGCCTGGAACAGGTCTCTGTCTGGGGGCAATGCTTTGCGGCCCCCTGCCTGGCACAGGCGCCGCATCGTCTGGCCTGCTGTTTGTTTGTACAGAAGGCGCGTAGGGGCTCGGCGACCCTGAGAAGGGAGGGCAGGAGCCGCTGGAGTCAGGCTCGTGCCCTCTGCTGTACCAAGAAGGTCGATGCCCGGTGTGCTTCGGGCCTAAGGCCGGGTATAACTCCGGCGGCTGACGTTGCGGCGTGCCAGGGCCAGGCCCACACGCCGAGTCTCGTGGCTGCCGTTGCCCAATACCCTCCTTCATCGCTCCACAAGCAGCAGCTCTCCCTTGTGCTTGCACACCACCACCGCATCGTCACCGACCTCCTCCGCTCTCGACTACCGCCATCATCACCATGTCAGCCCATCCGCAACCGCCTCCGCAGGTGCAGCACCTGCGCTCCCTCTTTGCCAAGTCTGAGGTGGTCAACGATCCCAAGGCCTGGGACCAGGCCTGGCTCGACAACACGACTCCCTGGGACGCCCAGGCGCCCCAGAATGCGCTCATGGAGCTGCTCGATGGCCTGCACGACGACGGCTGCTTGGTGCAGGCGGCCGATGGCGGCGCAAAGGTGCCCGTCTCGCACGTCGTGCCTAAAGGTGAAGGCATTGCCGTCGTCCCCGGCTGCGGCAGGGGCTACGATGCAAAGGTGTTTGCGGAGCGAGGCCTGCACGCGTTTGGCGTCGACATCAGCCCGACGGCTGTCGCTGCCGCCAACAAGGTGGGTGCAGCTTCTTTCTCTCTCGCGCTGTGTACCATCTTCGGCACCTCATGTCGCTGACACCACTTCGCTCCGCGATTGCCACCGCTTCATCGTGCATCCCGCGCACCGCAATAGTGGCTGAAAGACCAGGGCCTCCCCAACGCCCTCTCGGAGCGGATCTCGTTCCTCGAGTCGGACTTTTTCGCCCTGGGCACCTCTTCGTGCCCGCACGAGGCGCTATCCAAGGCGCAGGTGGCGACGCTGGCGTACGACTACACGTTCCTCTGCGCCATCCCGCCGTCGCTGCGCGAGGCGTGGGCGCAGACCTACACGCGGCTCGTCAAGCGCGGCGGCGTGCTGATCTCGCTCGTGTACCCGATCCAGGGCGACCGGCCGGGCGGACCGCCGTACTCGATTTCGCCCGAGCTGGTGCGGCAGCTGCTGGGCGCGCAGCGCAACGACGACGGCGCGCCGGCGTGGACGGAGCTGGCGGACCTCGAGCCCAAGCAGAGCAAGGAGACGCGCGTGGGCCAGGAGAGAGTCATGGTCTGGAGGAGAGCCTGAAAGAAGTGGCCGACCAGGGGCGACGTGGGCGAGCGTATAGAAGCAAGGCGAAGAGATGGCCTAGAGCGGCCGCCGATGTCGAGCTCGTCCTGTGTGGTCCCTGCCCGCCCGATTTCGCCCTGGCTGCTGCGCGTTGCGCTGTGGAGTGACGGCGGTGCGCCGCCTTGGAAGCAAGAAAGCGCCCACTCTCTCTCTCTCTTGGGTTTTCGAGCTTGCGCTGCGTTTCAGAAATCCTCGACTTTTGAAAATCGAAAAGGGAGCGGGCCGGGATTTGTCTAGCTTCCAGTTTGTCGTTTTGGGGTTGGACCCGAGTCCCGCCAACTTGCTTCTGAATTCTTGGCAGCCGACTCCTGCCTAGCCCTGAGGGCGGGGTCCAACGACGGATCAGCTTCCAAAGATTGCTGTCCCGAGAAACAATCTGCAAAAATACTTCAGATGTTGAACTCTGAAATGCGGCTTCATTGCCAACCTTTGAATCTCGAAAAAGCGAAAACTCGATTTCTCTGTCTTTCACGATTCACGGGCCAACAGCCGGCAAGTGGAGGCATGGCAGCGAGCCAGGCGACAACGGACGCCAGCCGCCGCCCTGCCGCTCCTTGCTGCTGTGGGCCTGCCTTCTCTTGCCCCGCCAAACGAGGAACCCATTTTGACCAGCCACGACCGACCAACCCATCCCTCAGGCCACCACTGTCGTCACCACCACCACCGTTACCACAACCACCCCCTCTGCTCTCACGATGCAAGACCCCGTCTCGGAAATCGCCGGCGTCGTAAAGGGCCTCGTCTCGGCCCGCAACGCCTCGGAGCAGAAGGCCTGCCTCCAGAGGTACTTTGCCCCGGACGCCTCCTTCGACCACCCGCTCTGCTCCGTCGCCAGCGGTCCCAACGTGAGCACCGCCTCGTATTGTCGTGCTGCCACATCGCCCGTCGTTTTCCGCAGCAGACTGACTGATCCTGGACCGTGTCGCATCTATCCACACAGTCGAGGGACAATGGCGTCCTGCCCATCTACCAGTGGCTCCGATGCATGTTCACCCCCGACATCGAGACGCATCAGATTGGTGGGTGCCGTAACCACAGTGTCAGGAGGACGAGAAGGAGGTGCCTGCTTTGTCCGACTCGCTGACCCAGTCTTCCCCCCACCTTGTCTCCGCTCGACAGGCTTCGACGAGAAGGCCAACAAGCTGTGAGCACCGAGAGCCGCCGGGCAGACACTGCGGCTCACCGGTACTGACGTCAGTCGCTCCTGCCCCCCTCTTGCCATCGCTTCTGCACTTCCGCGCAGCTTCCTCGACGTCTCGCAGCGCCTCACGCCCAACGTCCTGGTAGTCAACAAGCTGTGGGCGCCCATCGTCCGGTGAGCCGAGCCCAAGGGCAGCGTCTACTTCCTGTGCGGGGACGCCCCAGCTGACAGGGCTTTCTTTCTGACTCGTAATCGACGCACACCGCAGTCTGATCGTCGTGCTCCAGCTGCAGCGAGGTGCCGACGGCAAGTTCTACGTCAAGAGGCAAGAAGACTTTTACGAGCCCCAGGTGTACGTCCACGACCGCCATTGACCCGCCTCTGCTGTCGCGATATCCCCCTCGAGCCCCTCGCTGACCAATTATCTCTTCTCAACGCTCTGCGTCTGCTGTGGTCGGCCATCTGTAGCCTTCCGTTTGGCCTGCTGCCGCTGCTGGGACCCGTGACCTCGGCCGTCAAGCACGTCATCGGCTTCAACTGCGCCATCCTCACCGGCATCACCCAGCTCACCATCGGCTACTGGCGGCCGGGCAGGGATCCGATCAGCGCCAAGAGGAAGTGATGCAGTCGGGCGGATTCCTTCCTGCTACCATCTCTCGCTCTCTCTGTCGAATCGGAAGAAGGTACGAGTCAAATGCGAGGTCTGCTTTGCGAGTCTGGGAGCCGAACGGACAAAGGTGGTATACAGGTACAGAGGGAGGGGCGTCGAGAACGGGGACCGCGTTTTGGTCGTCGATCGAGAAAGGCAGGAAGGGGACGAGGGCGAGGCCAGAACGATGCTCTAGCGTGTCTAGGTGGGATGCTGCGATGGGGAGGGAGACAGGAGAGTCCTTTGTGCGGGCGTGCGGGTGCGTGACGAGAAACCAAGGGGGAGGGGGAGGAGGAGGAAGGAGGCAGGGAGAATGCGAGGGTGCGATGGAGACGGTGGGGTTAGGAAGAAATGGGGCGGAGGCCTGTTGCGCGCTCCGACTACCACTGGATCTTCCTGTCGCGGCTGCCAAAGTACTTGTCGATGAGGCCCTCGTAGTAGGGGCGGAGGGCGACGGGGTCCGGGGGCGAGTCGCTCTTGGAGTAGAGGTCGTAGGGGTTAAAGGCGAGGACGTTCTGGAGGGCGCGCTCGTCTTCGTCGTTGCAGAGGTGGCGGTAGGCGCCCTCGCGGTGCCAGGGGTAGAAGCTGTGGTAGCGGATCATGTCGAGCGCGGCGTCGGGCAGCGTCGAGTCGCGCTTGGCGATCTCGTAGAGGTACTCGTCGTGTCCCCAGCTGAGCATGACGTTCTTGAGGCCGCAGTTGGGCTGGTAGATGCCAAACTTGGTGTTGTAGCGCTCGTCGTGGAAGTCTGGGTTGTTGACAAACGTGTGCGGGTAGACGGTGCCCTCGGGCTTGCAGCCGACGACGAACGTGTCGCCGACGACGTCCCACTGACCGTCGGCGCCAAAGAAGCAGAGGAGCTTGCCGAGGTCGTGGATGAGGCCCGTGAGCTGCATCCAGTCGGGCTTGCCGTCGCGGCGCATGGCCTCGGCCGTCTGGAGCAGGTGCTGGATCTGCGAGAGCGACGTGTCCGGATCCGACTCGTCGACGAGCGTGTCGAGCTTCTCGATGGCCTCCCACACCGTCATGTCGGCGTGGTGGTGGTTGATGAAGCGGTTGCGCGCCTCGACGTTGAACGCCACCGTCTGCTTCTCGTGCTGCTCCTTGTAAAAGGCCTTGACGTGGTCGAGGGCGTCCTCGTAGTTGCGGAAGTCGGCCTTGTCCTTGTCCGAGTCAAACTTGGACTTTTCCGTGCGCCACGCCTCGTCGTCGACGCCCTCGGCGCCCGTGGGCTGCGGCGCGTCCGGGTGCTGGCCGCGGTAGACGTTGACCTCGTCGACGTAGTCCGACACCTGGTCCATCTGCGTGCCCTTTGCGACGAGCGCGGCCTGCTTGGCAGGGTTCACCGGCAGCTCCTCGGCGGCGGGCTTGGGCGAGACGGCAACGGGCGCCATGTTGGGAGGTGGAAGTGGCGGTGGGGCAAAGAAGATCGGGGTCGGTTCGGAGGTCGAGGTGGGTCTATGTGGTGGAAAGTCGGTAAAAAGGCTCGGAGGCTGTTGGCGGTAGATGTGGCTCAGATGGCTGTGGAGAAGACTGAGGCGATGGCGATGATAGAATGTCGACGATCTTGCAAGTCTAGGGAGGGGGTAGATATATGTGACGTCCTTGGCTCTTCTTGCTCGTTTGCCACGGCCAAGTGGCAGGCCGCGGGGGGGCGCTGCAAACAAAGCAGAGGCTGCATTCCGTTTCCGCAGACATGTGGCGGAGGGCGCGCTGCAGCGGCGCGGTGCGGCGAGTTGGGACGGGATCGAGTCGACGAGTCGGTCCAACGAGGCAGGAGGGCTACCGCCGACGCCATGGGCCGGGCGGGGGCGTAGGTACGGTTTGACAGGCTGGATAGGAGTCGAGAGAGGAGCAAGCGCTGTGACGCGCCTGGCCTGGCCGTCGGCGGTTTGGCAGTGGGGTGCAGAGTCCTTTCGGCGTTTTGGAGCGCGCCCGCTGCACCGACCCCGTCTTTGGCGGGTCGTCGGTCGGTCCACGTACGCCGCGCCGCCGCCCCGGACGCCCCGCACATTTTGACAGCTGGTCGGTCAGGCCGGTCCAGCCACAACCTTGCTTGTGCACCTCGCTGGCTCTTGCGTCCTCGTTGCACGCCTCGTCGTCGTCATCCTCTGCCTGCCACTTCGAGATGCAGACAAGCAAGGCTCTGCAGCTGTCATTGCACTTGGTGGGCATCGCTCGTCGTCCCTACCACCGAGGCTGCTGATCGCACCGCCGTCCGAATGCCATAATGATTGAGACCTGCCGGGGTCCGAGGGCCGGTTGCGTGTCGCTGCCAATTTTCCGTTTGCTGAGTTGCCGAGCCTCGACCGCACGGTGGCAAGGCGGCCTCCTACGCTGCCCACCGCTGCCCACCGCTGCGCGCCCCCGCTCCTTCCGGCGTCGGCCAATTCGACTTCCGTCGATCCGTTCACCGGCCAGCACGCTCCCGCCGCCTCTCGCCGGCCGCAGCGGCAGGCGGGTCAACACAAACGCACGCACGCACCTCTCTGCCCGACGTCAGGCCGCGCTGCACGTCTAGCCTGTACGGCTGTACCCCGCAACCAGGCCGGGCCGCCTGCCTGTTGACCGATAGCTCGCCGTTCAGCCAGCTATGCGGGCCAACTAGGGGTCAAGATGTCGCCTGGCTTGCTTGCTTTTGCATTTCTCGACAGAATGACGACAGGGCAGGCTCCGTCACTGCGCTGGCGCTGACCTCGTCCACGCACATCGTGCGCCGCTCAATGCAGCGACGTCAGCTCGCCATACAGCCGCGTGCCGTCGCGGTACCTTCCAAAGTGTAGCGCAAAGTGCTGCAGCTCCACCAGCATGGCCTGCGTGTTGGACTCGACCTCCGACTCCATCTCTTTGAGCTCCTCCTCGACCGCCTTGATCCCGTCCTCGTCCAGCTGCCCCCTGTGCCCCGATATCTGCCGCCGCAGCACGCCCAGGTCGGGCGTGTAGAGGAGCGCCGCGTTGATCAAGCTCCGGATAAAGTGGCAGAAGATCGACACCTCGCGCGACATGCGCTCCTCGAGCTCCTCCTCGACCTCGCGCCGCGACGGTTCGGGCAGGCCTCCGTCGTGCGCTTCCGACAGGATCTCAGCCTCCTCGTCGCTCTCGCGCCGCTCGAGATGGCGCACGCTGTTGGAGAGGAAGCCGCCCAGCACCAACAGCCGTGCCAGGTGGGCGACGGTTGTTTTGAGGCAAACCGGCTGCGACTTGGGCTGTGAGGGCGCTGGCGCAGGGCGCTCAGAGCGCAAGAGGCGGGTGACGAGATCAAAGCTTCGCAGCGTGGGCGGCAGATTCTGCAACGCGGTCAGGTAGCGCTGCACCGAGACCGGTCCGAAGCGATGACCCTTTTCCGAGTCGGCGTTGATGGCCTCTTGGCAGAGCCGGCCGACCATCTCGCAGGTAATCATCGGGCTGTTGGCGCCCGTCTGGACGAGGTGCTCGGGCTCGATGAGCTTGGCGAGCCAGACTGGAGGCAGGCGAGCCGCAAAGGCAGCGTCGGCGGCATCGGCCTGAGCGCTGCCGAGTATCGATGCGAGCATCCTCTGCTCTCCCATGGAGAGCGTCTGTACCGTAGCCTTCTTGACCAGCTCGGCGATGCGGCTCGAGATGCCAGAGGATGGGCCTGCGCCCGACGACTGGTCCTGGACCAGCTGCTGGGGCGACTCGGACGAGAGGCTCTCGAGCTCCCTGTCGCTGCCGTAGAGCAAGATCTCGAGCGCATGTCGGAGCGCTGGGCTGGATCGCGTGGTGGTGAAGGGCAGGAGGGTGACAAGCACCTCGCGGAAGGGTTGGCAGGCGGGCTTGGCGATGACGACGCGGTAGGGCTGATGGCAGAGGTACGCGGCGGCGATGCGGCGCTCCTCGCTGCAATCGGGCGAGAGGAGCACGGGGAGGTGGTAGTCGAGCCTGAGTTCGAAGTGCGAGAGCCTTTCGACGGACGAGTGCAGGCGGTTGGAGAGCTTTGCGAGGGGGAGCGTCATGTCGAGCGAGTCGAACGAGAAGGGCACGCCCCTGGCCATGATGACTGGGCGGTCTTGCCCGGCGGTGGCCGGCTGCGGCTGCACCGCCTCCATAGCGCCGTTGTGGATGGTCGACCTCGCTGATGGTGTCGAGAGGAGATCGAGTAGGCGGACGAGCCTGGAGAAGGTGGTTTAGGGTCCGGATGGCTGAGACGAGGTGCGGGATGGGTGGAGTTGGAAGGAAGCTCCTCGCCGGCCGGCGTGTTGGATTTGCTGGCCGTGGCCCAGCTGGACACCTGCCTGGACCCTTGTCCGTGCCCTTTCTGCAAAAAAGGGACGAGTAGTTAGTGGAGGGCGCCAGATTAAGATTGGATTTCATTTCTCGTGCGGCAAAGCGTGCAACACTGGCCCCACTGTCGCGGAACCCGGCGATGCCGTCGGCACTTGCTGGGCCAGGCCAGGCAACGCAGCCAACGAGGCAGGCAGAGCGCAGCTGGCAGGCACGGCTGCCCGCCGGCGTTTGTCCACTTTAGCTGCGTGGTGATGAAACACCTCTGCCCAGCCGACAGAAAAAAGCAAGCGCAACAGATCTCCGCAGAAACGTACGCTCTGCCTCCGTCTTTTCTTTTCTTTGCTGGTTCGCAGGCCGTCCCACTTGCGCGGCGATGACGACCCAAGCGAAGGAACGGCCTCGCTCTTCTTGCTGGTGGCGAGAGCATACCGTAGCGTTTTGTTGCTCGTCTCTACCTGCCACAGGCACGCATGGAAGCCCCTCGGTCACACGATACGATGATGCTGCCGCGCTGGCGCCTCGTTGTCCTCAGCTGGAAGCTTCTCTGCGACCTACTTTGGCGAGGCACCCCAGAAACCAATAATTCGAGGCGAGGTCCGAGCCAACTCAAAAAAGAGGGCGGCGCAGTGCAGCACCTTTTCCCTGGGCAAAGACGCCGAGCCAGCCCCTGGCACCACGCATACCCCAGCCCCGCCCGGCCTCGTCAGGGCGCAGCGGCATGCTCCTAGACCGCGGCCAAGAACAGAAATAAAGAGACAAGGGCCGGGAATGCGCTCGACGTCTGGTTGCTCTTCGGCCCTGCATTCGAGGCAACCGCCTGTGCCTTCCTCTCGAACCACCACCACCACCGCCGCCTCCTCCCTGCCTGCCATCTCCACTTTGCCCCTGCATAGACAAACGTACGGTCCGCGTCCTCCTCGCCCGCCATCGATAGAAGCTCGAACATCGCCAGCATGTCGGCGCCGTGGCAGCAGCCTCCGCAGCAGCCTGCGACAAAGGGCCAGCAGTCGGCAGGCAGGCCCTACGACCCCAACGCGGCCGCCACCCCCGTCGGCGCATCTCACTACTACGAGACGGGCGGCGACGACTTTGGCAGCGCCGAAAAGGGCTACGGCTTCCCCGCAGGCTACGGCGGCGGCGGCAAGTACCGTGGCGACGACACCGCCATCAGCGATCCATCGTCGAGCGTAGAAGTCTACCCGCCACCGCCCCGCCGCTACGATCCCTACTCGCATCCCTCTCCTCCCATGGGCGGCGGCCCCAGCGCCTCGGAAGACAACCTCGCCTCGGACCACAAGAGCAGCAAGAGCGCACCCAAACGGCCCAACATGTCGAGGCAGGACAGCGAATCCTGGGAGCGCCTCCTCAAGGGCGCCGGCTACTCGACGGGCAAGGGCGACCAGAGTGCCAACAGCAGCTTCGTCGCACTCAACGGTCGGGGCCAGCCGCAGAACCAAGGATCCAAGATCCACCCCTCGATCCGCCTCTTCCTCTACATCCTCATCCCGACCGCGCTGCTCTGGATCCCGGGCATCGTGGCGCTCCTCAGCTACGACGCCTCGCCTCGCAACGACTTTAACCGCCCCACGGTCTGGAAGGTCGGCCTCTTCTGGTGGTCGATCTGGCTCAGCTCGATCTGGGTCGGCTGGTGGATCTGCCGCCTGGGCGCCTACCTCATCCCGCAGATCCTCAAGCACACCCTCGGCTACATCGGCACCCAACTCAAGCGCAAGATCGACTACCTCATCGTCGTCGAGCGCTACGTCGCCCTCTTCATGTGGACCGTCGTCCTCTACGTTGTCTGGCTCGTCATCATCATTGGCAACTTCCAAGACCCCAACAAGACGATCCTCGAGCAGGGCGCGCTGGCGGCCAACTCGACGACCATCATCAACGCCTCGGGCTCCGGATCGGCGGCCGACACGTCGTCGACGGGCAACCTGATGGCGTCCGGCTCGCGACTGTGGTTCGGCTTCGTGCTGAGCGCCGCGCTGCTGCTGGGCGAGAAGCTCTTCATCCAGAGCATCGCCTACAACTTCCACCGCGTCTCGTACGAGGACCGCATCAGCACGAGCAAGTTCCAGATCAAGGTGCTGACGACGCTCTACGAGCACTCCAAGAACCTCAACCGCAAGGACACGTACATTGCCGCCGAGCACGAGGCCAAGCGCAAGTCGTCGGGCATGCACCTGGCCCGCGTCCACCTCAAAAAGACGGGCCAGAAGGCCAAGCGCGCCGTCCAGACCAGCACCTCGGTCCTCGGCACCGTCGCCAGCGAAATCTCTGGCCAGGCCATCCTCCAGGCCAACAACCCGCGCTCGGTCGTCGTCAACGCCCTCAACTCCAAGAAGCAGACCACCGCCCTCGCCCGCCGCATCTGGTACAGCTTTGTGCCGCCCGGCAAGAGCGAGATCCTCATGGACGACATCCTCCACTGCTTTCCCGACGCCGCCACCGCCGAGGCCGCATTCGAGGTGTTTGACAAGGACCTCAACGGCGACGTCACCAAGGAGGAGCTCGAGTCGGCGTGCCTCGAGGCGCACCGCGAGCGCATGGCGCTCCAGGCGTCGATGATCGACGTTGACTCGGCCGTCGGCCGCCTCGACTCGATCTTCATGAGCGTCTTTGTGCTGATCGCCGCCGTCATCATCGCCGCGCTGCTCTCGGTCAAGTTTTCGACGCTCGTCACCAGCTTCGGCACCGTTATCCTCGGTCTCTCGTGGCTGATCGGATCGACGGCCCAGGAGACGCTCGCCGCCATCCTCTTCCTCTTTGTCAAGCACCCCTACGACGTCGGCGACCGGGTCGACATCGGCGACGACTCGTACATCGTCAAGGAGATGCGCCTGCTGACGACCGTCTTCAAGACGACCAACGGCAAAAATGTCATGATCAGCCACGCGCAGCTCGCCCAGAAACCCATCGTCAACCTGCGCCGCTCCGGCCCGATCGAGGAGACGTTCAAGTTTGAGGTCTCGTTCGACACGTCGTTCCAGCAGATCGAGATGCTCCGCTCCAAGATGGTGCACTGGATCAGCGGAGAGAAGCGCGACTTCCTGCCCGGCCTCGACATCAACGTCGTCGACTTCCAGGAGCAGTCGAGCATGCTGCTCTCGACGGGCATCCGCTACAAGTCCAACTGGCAGCAGGGCGGCCTCAAGGCCGAGCGTAGGAACCGCTGGCTGTGCCAGTTCAAGGTCTTCCTCGCAGAGTGCAAGATCTACGGGCCCAGCGGTGATCCGGGCGTCGCCGCCGTCAAGCGCTACGCCCAGGTGCCCTGGCCGATCCCCGAGGAGAGCTTCTCGGCCAGCACGGCAAGCGAAAACGTCAAAAAGACGCTCGGCGGGTCCGAGAGGACGTACCGCTTCATGGACAAGGATGCCAGCATCGCCGGCCGCGACGCCTTCGACGACTACGCCCCAGACACGGCCCCGGGCACCGCGCCGCCGTCGAGGCCCGTTTCGCCCGCCAACGCCCTCGAGCAGGGGCGTCTGCGGTCGGGCTTCCCCGCCGCGTCGGCCGCCGCCGCCCCTCCCTACATCCGCGGACCGCCGCAGCGCCAGGGCACCCAGGAGTCGTACGAGCTCATGGACGCGCCCGTTTCCGCCAACCGCCGTCCGCTCCAGTGACGACCGCCGTCAGCGCGCGGTGCAGGATGGCGGTAGAAGTAGTAGAGACCAGGGCTTGCCGGTCATTCCCTCTTGGATCCTCTATCTTTCCTCATGAACAATATGCTTTGGATGCCATATGACGGCGTGAGCTCGTGTTCGACGGCGGTGTCGTTGCAGCCAAGAACAGGCAGACGGGGCGTATGATGGACGGGCAGCAGGAAGCTGAGGGAGACTGTACCGTGGAGCAAGAGCGAATGCCCCCCACGATGCTGAGATCCTGTGCGGGTGGAGGGCGACGGTTTTTCCCCCCCGCACTCTGGATGGCGTGCTCCCCGTGCTGGCAGAGTCTGACAGGCGCCAACCGACGTCGCGAGCACGCAACCTCGCTAGGGCATTGACTAGGCTCCAGCAGACCTTTGCCGTGCCCCTCTTCTTCCTTTCCCCAGTCTGTACAGACATTCCGTGGCGTGCTCGGGACGACTATGCTTTCTAGCCCCGCGGGCCTATGCTGGGGCCAATCAAGGGAGCTTCGTCGAAAAGGGCCGGTAACGATGGAGCCCGTCGCTGTCTGGTCTTCCCCATCAGCGAGCGACTCATCACGTCACGCGGCTAGCGACGCACCTTCTGACATTGAGAACGGAAACGGTCAACGACTCTCGATACGTTGAGCGCAGCAGATCAGGTGTACGTCTTTACGGAGGCCGTCACGCCACCTTTGCTGCTTTGTCATGAGCGTCGTGAGCGAGCAGGAGCTGTCATCGCCGTCGCACTTGCGCCTCGTCGACGGGAGCAGCTGGGCACGACCACAGCCGCGACTCCGAACCACGAGCTCGTGCGCATCGCCGTATAGCCCCGCTCTTGCCACATGGCATGCTCATCGTCTCAACCTGCCTTGGTCCGTCCCTGGCGCCCCTCGGTCCGCATGGCCTTCCGATATCGGTGGGCGCCTCTGATCTTGGCAAGGCTTCCCTCCGTCCTTCCACCTTCCATCCTGACCTGACCAATCCCCGCCGCTCTCTCTGAACTCAAGCGCCGGCTACACCTCGTTCCGATACGGTACCACACGATCGATCTGTTTGCCACGAGGCCGCTGCTGATTGTCTCATTGTTGCGGCCGGTGACACGATTCCTATCGAGTGCAGTCCGCCAGCGCGCGCCACCTAGTAAAGCGACGCAACGGACGTCGTCCGATCCGTATAAGACCAGCGACAACCTTCCTGCTACGAGCCAGCCGGCCTTACTGTCACCGTCTAGCCCTCCCCGCCCTGCCGCCAAGGTCCAACGTGACCGCCTCCGCCTTACCGACATAGAGCCACGGGCGGCTTCTTAGCACCACCTTCCTTCCTTGCACATCTATCACGATCCAAGTACGACACCATGTCCGACACACACGCTTCGCCCTCCCCGACCGGCATCAAGGCCGAATCGCTCACCGACGACTACCATGGCAGCGCCGTCGCCACCACCGCCGCCGCCGCCCCCGAGGCGCCGGTTGAGTATACGAAAGAGGAAGAGACCAGGCTGGTGCGCAAGATCGACCTCGTCGTCGTACCCATCCTCATGTTCTTGTACCTGCTCTCGTTCCTCGACAGGTCAAATATCGGTACGTTCCTCCGTCCTTCGACTCGTTGGCACCACGATCCGGCAAAGACGATGTCGTCGCAACGCGCGAGCTGAAATCTGCCGACTATATCTACGCGTCACCACCATGCCCCCGGCAGGCAACGCCCGCATCGAGGGCCTGATCGACGATGTCGGCATCACCGACTACAGCTCTATCCTCACCATCTTCTTCGTTGGCTACGTCATCGGAGAGGTGCCCGCCAGCCTGATTCTCAAGCGCACCAGCCCAACGTTCTGGCTCTCGACGCTGACGCTCCTCTGGGGCATCGTGTCGGTCATCATGGCCTTTGTGCCCAACCAGGCCTCGCTCTACGCCGTCCGCTTCTTCCTCGGCGTCAGCGAGTCCGGCCTTTTCCCCGGCAGCGTCTTTGTCTTTTCCCTCTACTACCCGCGCCACCAGCGCCACTACCGCACCGCGCTGCTCCTCTCCGGTGCGGCGGTGTCGGGCGCGTTCGGAGGCATCCTCGCCTACGGTCTGGCCAAGCTCGGCGGCAAGGGCGGCCTCGCTGCGTGGCAGTATATCTTTTTGCTCGAGGGACTCGTAACGGTCGTCGCTGGTGCGCTGGGATACTGGCTGGTGCCCAACTACCCGCAGCGGTCCAAGACGTTTTCGGCGCGCGAAAAGGCCATTATCGCCCACCGCATGGCCGAGGACGCCGATGCCGTCGACAACGAGCCGTTCAACTGGCACGGCGTGCGCGCCGCCTTCCGCGACCCGTACGTTTACCTGATGGGCCTGCTGTTCCACGGCTTCGCCTTCGCCCTCTACACCATCTCCAACTTCATGCCCGCCATCATCAAGGAGCTCGGGTACACGAGCGCCCAGGCCCAGCTGCTCACGGTGCCGCCGTACGCCTTCGCCTTCCTGGTGACCATGTCGACGGCCCACCTCTCGTTCCTGGCCCGCAAGCGCCTCGTCTTCATCATCCTCGCCGCGCTCCTCGCCATCGTCGGCTACGTCGTCCAGATCACCTCGCCCACTGTGGGCGGAAAGTACACGGCCGTCTTCATCACGGCCGCCGGCGTCTACGCGGGCAATGCGCTCCTCCTCTCGCTCCCCTCGGAAAACGTCAGCGGACAGACCAAGCGCGCCACGGCCCTCGCCATGCAGATCATGTTTGGCAACACGGGCAGCATCATCGGCGTCCAGCTCTACCGGACGCCGCTGGGCAGCCTCAAGAACACCAACTACCGCATCAGCCACGGCCTCGCCATCGTCTGGCTCGGCATCGGCATCGGCGCGGCGTCGGCACTGTGGATCCTCTTGGACCGCGAGAACAAACGCAGGGACAGGGAGGTGCAGAGGAAGTCCGACGAGGAGGGCAAGAGCGCAGAGCAGCTGCAGAGCGTAGAGGAGAAGCGGCTGCTCGGCGACAGGCGGCTCGACTGGAGGTACCAGATCTAGCGCCGTGTCCCGTAGCGTAAACAATGAGCACCGCCAATAATAATGTTCGGGCGGGCGGGAACAAAACGTCTTCGCAGTAGTGCATTGTCCGTGGATTACAGGTTTCAGGAAGGAGGCACGCCGCATCAGACGAGAATGAGGCAGACACCCAGGAAGAGGGCGAGGGCGCCGATGACGACGGCGTGGACGGCCGAGGTGGCCACAGTGGGCAGGGCAGCGCTCTGCTCGGGCGTCGATGTGGACGAAGAGCCGCTACCGCCTTTGCCACTGCCGCTGCCGCCGCCGACGGTGCCGGTCTTGGTGACCTTGACGGTGAGGACCTTGACCGTTCCATCGACGCCGATGCCGTGGTTGATCTGCGACGACTGGATGCCCGCGAGCAGGCTGGTGTTGTCCTCGACCGTGGTCTTGTACTCGAACCCGCCAGGCGACCGCGTACCGTTGCTGACCGAGGCGTTGCCCACGAACCAGTCGCGACCGAGGTCGTAGCCGTTGTCGACAATCATGTGGTTCTCCTTGGCCGACGCCTCGACGGACGCGGCGATGAAGATGGCTCCCGAGTTGGCAGCGGAGCCGTTCTGGATCCAGTAGCGGAAGTGGTTGCCGCCGTTGAACGACTGGCCGCACGTTCCCTCGTCGCCCTGGCCAAAGTTGTAGCGCATGATGTTGGTCTGGTTGAGGGCGCCGTTGCCGTCGCCGAGGTTGGCCGTCTGTGCGCCGCCGAGCGAGATCGAGAGGCAGTCGCCCGGGGAAAAGTCGAAGCTGCCGGCGTACTCCTCGAAGCCGCTCTTTGTCAAGACGCTAGGGTCAGAGGCGCTCGAGATGATGATGTTGAGCGGCTCGCCGGCGCCCGAGTACGTGTTGCCGGTCAGGAGCGAGCCGCCGTTGGCAGTCGGAGCGTAAAAGCCGTCGGTCGCCTGGCGAGCCACCAGCGCGGGCGTGGCCATGGCCGGCAAGAAGGACGTGGAAGCGACGACGAGGCCGGCGGCGGCGAGTGTGGCGGAGGTGCTGAACCTCATCCCGTATCGACTAGGTCGGTGACCTGGCGGGGCGCCAGAAGATGTAGAGCGAGAGGGTCGAGGAACGGGGACGAGGGAAGGACGGCTATGTACGAGAAGGGACGGACTGAATATGTGGACGGCCAGCGTCTACGGTGTGGAGCGGTCTCGGTGGCGGCGACGGTGGTGATGGTGGTGGTAGTCGGGAGCGAAGGCGACAGATGACGAGAGAGTGGCAAAACAGGCAGGCGGGCCTGTCGGGCGCAGGCAGGTGTTGCTCTCGTCGGTGTTTCAGCAACGAGGGCGGGCTGCCCCAGACTGGTTTCGAGGACTGGCTGGCCGGCCTGCCTGGCTCGGCTTGCGTGCTGCTCCACAGGGAGCACAGGGAGGGGTGCATGCCAAGGGCGCCTCGCTGCTCTCTCTAGCACCGCCCTTTCGGCCTGCCGACGGCATGATGGGCTGCAGCATCTGCCTGCTGATGGTGAGCCTTATCGGTTGCTTGCGTGCCTGCCAGGTCCTATTTCCGTGGCATGTCCTCGGCGATTTATTTTTTCGACGTTGAAACCCTGGACGACGTTGGCAGCGGCGGCGGCGGCAGCAGCGGCGACGCTCGGCTTCGTCGATCCCCTGGAAACCAATATTGACTGGCCAATCAGGCGGCCGGTTGCACAGGAGCGGACAAACGGTCGTCTATGTGCTCGATCAACGAAGCTGGGCGTGGCCTACATAGCACCGCCCCTGTCATAACGTGAACGACTCGACGGGAGATGGATGACGTCTGGGACGATGGTGAGCGTTGGCGAGGAAGGACGGTTCCAGGCCGTGACAGGCGGCTCGGTGGTGCAATGACAGCGGCACCTCACTTTTGCCGGACGGCGACCGCCCCACCCGCTTTTGTCGTCGGTGGGTCCGATGCGCACGGGGCTAACCAGCCAGAGCAGATCGCGCGCGAGCTGGAAAGGTCCAGATCGGGACTCGATCGAAACCTTGAACTTTTTATTTTTCTTTTCGAAATCGGGCTGCGGCCGAAGTTTCTGCCGGGTGGGCATGTGCTTTGTCGATCCGGCCGAGTATTCGAGATTCGAGACCGACACGTGGGGGGCTCGGCCGTGTCAAGGTTGGAGCTTGAGCCTGTTGCTGCTGTGGCCGGGGCCAACCCGGGCGGCAGGCAGCCGGCCAACTGCCCCGAGCGCCCCGGCCGGCACATCCGAACAAGCAGCATGCTGCTCCGCCTTCTGTGTCCCCCACCTCTCTGGCATCGTTAATCTGCCCTGACGAGTGGGGTCGGCTCATGGCTTGGCAGACAGTGCTCTGATCTCCCTGCTCGAATCGACATCGAGTCCGGATTGACATTCCGGCAAGGTCTGCCGTGGTCGAGGACGTATAAAGTAGACCAGCGATGCGGGGTAGCACCGGTGCCAACGAAAGCGGGGACCCCTCACTCTTGCCAACTGTCCGTCGACTGCCCTGCCTCTTTAGCACGCTCGATCCTCCATCACCCTCGCCTCTCGTCGCTCCTCATCATCCCGTAGCTGCTGCTGCTGCTGTCTCTACCGCTGCCGCTGCCGCCGTCAACCATGGCCCCTACCGAGCTCAGCGGCCCTACGGTCGACTTTCCTCAGAACCTCAACGTCCACAGCTTTGTCTTTTCCAACCCCTTCCAGCACGCCGTCAATCCAGACCCTAAGCAGTACCCGGATCACACCTACGACGGCCAGACGGTCCCGCCGCACAAGACATCAATCATCCACGATGGCTCCGGCGCCACCCTCAGCCGCGCCAGGCTTCAGCTCGACAGCCTCAAGGTCGCCCGCTCCCTGAGGGCCATCGTGGGCAACCCGGTCGCATGCGCGCCCCATGCGAATCCCAACGAGCCGGTGAGTGCCTGTCTTCTTCCAGGCGTGGCTCAAAAGTAGCGGCGATGCTGAGCCTCCTTCCTATACCGCCTGCCCAACACGGCCGCGTTGAGCAGGTCCACGCCCCTCGGACGACGGTGCTCCTCCACCTGCCCAATAGCCTGGCGTGGCCCATCCTTGCTCTCGGCACCTTTGCCGCCAGCTGCACCCTCTCGCCCATCTCGACCCATCTCTCGCCGCGCGAGCTGGCCTACATCCTCGCAAAGGCGCGACCGCAGGTTCTCGTCACCACGACGGGCGCCGATGGCGAGGGTCAGCTGCGAAAGGCGCTCGATCTCTTGCTGCAGGGCGAGCCGCAGGACCAGGGCGTGGTCAAGGGCGCGATGATCAGGGCGTGGGCACGCGAGCTGGCCGCCGACTGGGACCAGGGACGCGCGGCGAGGCTGCAAAAGGGCGACAGCCTGCCCTTCCGGCGCAGGAGGGTCTGGACCGTCGACCTCGCCGGGGGCGCCGACTACTACGGCCACGCCCTCAACAAGCACGGCGTCTCGGCGGCCATCGACCCGCGCGACTGGACCAACCTGCTTGCCCCGCCGCCTGGGTCCAAGCAGGAGGGTACGATCGAGGGCACGTCGTCGGTGCCCTTCGAGGTGCAGCCCATGTCGCCCGAGGAGCAGCACCACAGGGCGGCGCTGATGCTCTGGTCGAGCGGAACCACTGGCCAGAGCAAGGGCGTGCTCCTCAGCCACCGCAACTGCGTCGCCAACACCCAGGCGCTGTGGCACTACAACATGCACTTCAAGGGCATCAGCCGGGGCGACTATGGCGGCGGCGAGCGGTGGCTAGCGCTCGCGCCGTGGTGCCACGTCCTCGGCCTATGCACGCTGCTTCTTCCGGCGATTGCGCTCGGCGCGACGCTCGTCATCCCGGCCAACCCGCGCTTCGACCTGCCCACCTACCTTCGCACGATCACCAAGTACCGCATCACGTTTGCGCACATCGCGCCCGCGGTGGCCGTGGCGCTCAAGACGACGCCGGCGCTCGACCCGTCGTCACCGGTCAGCCAGGGCATCGACGTGTCGTCGATCTCGGGCTTCATGACCGGAGGCGCGCCCACCTCGTCCGAGATTATCCGCATCGTCCACGAGCGCACCCAGAGGTACATCCACATGGGCTACGGCACCACCGAGACCATCACCATCACCCAGACCTCGGGCATGGGCCTCGACCGCGACATGTATGGTCCGCGCGACGAGCTGGGCAGCGTCGGCTTCGCCGCACCCAACGTCTCGATCCGCATCCAGGCGCCTCCTGGCACCTCGGACGAGTCGACCAACTACCGCACCCAGGAGATCCGCGATGCGGCCAAGCGCGCCCGCGAGCGCGGCGAGAGGGCGCCGCTTGACCCGAGCCCCGTCGGCGAGATCCTGGTCAAGGCGCCCGCCGTGATGCTGGGCTACTTTTCCGGCCTGTCTTCCGAGGGCGGCACGAGCGCGCTCGATGCCGAAATGACCCAGGGCGCCTTCCACCCGGGCGGCTGGTACCGCTCGGGTGACGAGGGCGTGTTTGACGCGCACGGCCACGTGTGGATCACGGGGCGGATCAAGGAGCTGATCAAGGTCAAGGGCTTCCAGGTGCCGCCGGCCGAGCTCGACAGTCTGTTTGCGGGCCACCCCAAGCTGGCCGACGCGGGCGCCACGAGCCACCAGCACGAAGGTCTCGAGGAGGTACTGATGCTCGTCGTGCCCAAGGACAGGAGCGTCCTGGCCAGCCGCGAAAAGATGCAGGCGCTCATGGAGGAGCTGTGCGAGTGGGTCAAGGACCAGACGGCGCACTACAAGTGGCCCAAGTTCTACCTGTTTGCCGAGGCCGCCCCCAGGAACCCCACGGGCAAGATCCTCCGCAAGGACGTGGCCATCACCAGTGGCACCATCCTCATGGCGCCAAAGACGAGCCGAGGCCCGGCCAAGCTGTAGCGAGGTCTCCGCCTGGCCGGCCGCACGTTGTCTGTGCCTTTGTAGATCCCGAGGTGAATTCCCGAGATATCCGTTTGTCACCGTATGTGTTGTACGGCGCCCTGCTGCATTGCGCAGCATCGCACTGCCGGTGATGTTTGCACGAAGCCCACTCCGCCGACCAAGCCAGAAGAGACCAGCGACCATACCGGTACCTGCCGTCCTCGCGCTTCGATGAGGGAGACGCCGCAGTTCCACGTACCTCAACGACCCACGATGTCATATCGGACCAAGATGCCGATGTGGGTCGTGGTGGTGTACGTCTTGCTGACTGTGTTGCCACCCACCCTGGGAGATTCCGATCGACTCCAGCCCACCAAACCTTGCTCGAGCGACTTGGTCCGAGCGAATTGGGCCGGCCTTTTCGCCGCTCGACGAACAGCTGTACCGGTTGCCTCGCCATGCCAGGTTGTGTGGCCCTCAGGGCGTAGCGACTCTAGCGAGGATGTGCTATGCGCCTGCTCGCTTTCCGGACGAACTCGAGCAGGCAGGCCGGTCTCGCTCGCTTCCGATCTGTACTCGTCTGGCCCTCTGACGATGGGGCGGTCGGCGAGAGGAAGAGGGTGCCACGAGGCATGCAAAGCCCTCGATAGCGCGATAGCCGGGGCTCCCCTCCGAAAATGGGCCGATGGGTACAGCGCCAGCCGAGGCGGCGCGAGGCGAGGGTCGGAAAGCGAAACCCGAACGCATGCACCATCACGTCAAGCCTCCGCGTGTGGGGCCCAACAGATTTTTTGAATTTCGCGCGGAGCGCCCTGGGGAGAGGACGAGCAGCCAGCCAGGCGGCCCTTTTTTCCGATTTTCTCGCTCGTGTCCGATTTTTGAAATTCCGCTGCTCGTCACGTACCGCCTGACAGCGCCCCCGGCCATCCCCCGCAATCCCTCCGCGTACCTCAAGGACGGGGACCTCACACACCCCAGATCGTGGCGATGGCCCGTCGATGCTGAGCCGTTTTGTTGTCGTGCGAGGTCGTCTGTGGCAGCGCAGGCTGGGGTGCCTTGGCGGCGAGGATGCGGTAGGCGAGATTTCGGGTCGATCAAAAGAGGCGAGCGGACCATGTGCGGCCCACGCACCAGTCCATGCCTCTCTGCTGTCTTGCCGTCGGGTCTGGTTCAGTTCAGGTCAAGTGAGAGGTGGCCGGCATCAACGCTGCTCTTGTGCCAGGTGGGGGCACGGTTGCCAAGAGGCCGACGTCGCATCAGCTGCCCAACCGGCCGCACACGAGCCCAGCGCAGCGGCCCATGGCCCTCGTCGTGGAGCCCCGGCCTCTTGTGCACTTCATCCACTCTGATCGTATATAAAACCGCTCGCCCCCCGTCCCTGTGACGGCCTGTGTTATAGCCCATCCCCGTGCGAACATCCCCTGCCCGTTCCCATCTTCCGGCTCATCCTCCTCGCTCGTCTATCCTTCCGGGAAAGAGCAGCGATGCAAATCACCTCGACCTTCTCACGCGTCGCCGTCGCGGCGGCGGCTGCCCTGCTGTCGGCCAGCGCCGTCTCGGCGCAGTCGACGCCGGCCGCCGTGCCCGCCGTACCCGAGGGCCAGGAACCCAGCTCCATCATCCCCTCGGGCCCCGTCCCACCCAAGCAAGTCCACTGCACGTCGCCCATCTACTGCCCCGGCCCGCTCCTCCAGGCCGTCCAGCTCGCCGGCATCTTCAAGGACAGCAAGACCTTTGTCGACAAGCCCACCACCAAGCCCGAGGCCGACGTCGTCGCCGCGTTCCAGAAGCTCGGCGACGGTCAGGGCGGAAATGTCACCTACCAGGAGATTATCGACTTTGTCAACGGCAACTTTGCCGCCGAGGGCTCTGAGCTCGTCCCTGCCGACCTGAGCGATGAGTTCGTCGAGGAGCCCAAGTTCCTCTCCAACATCACGGATCCACTCGTCCGCGACTTTACCAAGCAGGTGCACTCGTACTGGAAACTCTTGGCCCGCACCACCAACGAGACAAGTCCTTCCGGTACGCAGTGCGATGGCTGCGTCGGCAGCTTCATCCCCTTCAAGGAGAGAAGGCCAGTAGTAGCTCCTGGAGGTCGCTTTCGCGAGCTCTATTACTGGGACACTTTTTTCACGGCGGAGGCCCTGATCAAGTCGCAGCTGAAGAGCGTTGTGAAGTCGCTCATCGAGAATCTTGGTGACCTGCTCGAGCAGTTCGGCTTTGTTCCGAACGGCAACCGCGTCTACTACGAGAATCGCTCGCAGCCGCCTTTCCTCACGCTCATGGTCGACCGCTATGTGGAGGCCTACAACGACACCTCGATCCTGGTGCGCTTCCTTCCTCTGCTCGAGCGCGAGATGGAATTCTGGCGCGTCAACAGGACGATCGAGTTCACGAGCCCCTACACGCAAAAGAAGCACAACATCACCCGCTACGTCGTCGACACCAACGGGCCTCGTCCGGAGAGCTACAAGGAAGACTACATCACCGTCGAGAATGCGACGGCATCTGGGCTCACCCTCAACGACACTCAGAAGGGCATCTTGTACAGCAACCTGGCGTCTGGCGCCGAGAGCGGCATGGACTACTCGGCCAGCCGCTGGTCGACTCGACCGCTGATCGATCCCGAGGACACGATCCCGGCACAGCGCTTCCTCAACACCCAGGAGATCCTGCCCGTCGACCTCAACTCGATCCTCTACCGTGCCGAGCAGAAGCTGGCCGCGTTCTACCGCATGCCGATCAACGGCTCGCGCGCGATGACGAACCAGACCCGGGCCAAGTACTGGATTGACCAGTCGCAGAAGCGTAAGGAGGCCATTCTCGACGTCTTCTACAACGAGAAGCTCCACTTCTTCTACGACTTCAACATGACGAGCGGCGACCGCTCCCCGCTCTGGCACGCCGCCGGCTACTTCCCGCTGTGGGCCGAGATTCTCCCGAACGAGTTCACCAACCAGTCAATCCCTGTCCGACAGCGCCGCGAGTCGATGCAGAGCACTTTCGCCGGCCTGCGATACCTCCTCGATCGCTACAACGGCACCATGCCGGCGTCGCTGCTCAAGACGGGACAGCAGTGGGATGAGCCCAACTCCTGGCCACCGCTGGTCTACATTGCGCTGCAATCGCTGCGCAGCGTTCCGGCGATGCTCGCCAGGGGAACTGCGTTGCCCGCGCCCAACGGCACGTTCGATCTGATTCCTTCCGAGTCGTTCGGAGGATCCAACAGCGTCAACCAACTCGGCCAGACTGAAGAGACGCTTCCGCCGCAGCCCGTCGAGTACTCGAACAGCACCGTCGACGTGACCGATGCCGGAGCTACTCAGGCCGACAACCCGACACTCCACGTTGACCCTCTCATGAACGCCGGAAACGAGACGACGACCGAGTCCTGGCGAGACGAGCTCGTCCGCGAGCTCGCTAACCGCTACGTCGCTTCCGCTCTCTGCTCGTGGCGCGCGACGGGCGGAAAGCTCAACACGACCGACCCGAGCCTCGCTCCCGTCCCCGAGGACATTCTCAAGGCCAACGGGTTTGAGAACGGTACCGGAGCCATGTTTGAGAAGTTCTCCGCCGAGAGCGTCGACCAGGCCGGCGGCGGCGGCGAGTACGATGTGAGTCTTGCATTGTCTCCGAGGCTTCTGCTGCTCGAGGCGAGTCGCTGACGTTCCCGTGACTCCATGCTTTGCCATAACAGGTCCAGCTAGGCTTCGGATGGTCCAACGGAGTCCTGATTTACATTGGCGGCGAGTTGGGCCAGCTGCTCAATCGTCCTGAATGCCCACCGGTCGTTGCCAAGGACACGACCACCGCGTCGAGTTCTTAGGCACGTTTTCGCTTCGATCTTGCCTTGCCTTACGCTTCAGTCTCCTCTTTTCTTTAAGCCATCGATTAGTTGGCCACTCATTTGGACCCTCGGAGTGCCTGTTGATGTACGTCGAGCGCCACTTAATGAAATCACTGAGCGAGAGATGCCTTGATAACATAGCGCATCTTGACGGAGCTTACATTCCCGCGATGATGTCGGGAATCAGGCCAAACTGGTCTGGTGTCCGCTTGAGTGGAGGTTGAACGCGCTGCATCAACGGCTTGAGATCCCCTCACACAGCCGAACAAAGTGTTGGTCAGAAGCTCCACAAGACAGCAAGGAGCCCTGTGATTCTGGCTCAAGTCAGGACCAGCAAGGCGATCTGGATCTGGTTCAGGAAGAGGGCGTATTCCTGGAGCTCCATGGACTTCAGGTCAAATATGTAGGACTTTGCCTTGTGGCGGGCGGCGGAGCCGAGCGGCAATTGCCGCAGCCAGCCCCTCGACCACGGAGGGGCTCGAGGGAGCTAGTATGTAGTCCCCCGGCTCCTGCGGAGGCCTCTGATGGTATCCTCGTCGAATGTACTATATCCTCTTACCCCTAGAGACTGGTACAGCATCGATATCCTTTCTCCTCTTCATCCCTGACCTCTCCGCGCAAGCCCTATACCGTCCTCGGCCGCCCGCGGTATCCCAAGACCCCGAGGGCGTAACATCAGTGCGCTCGATCAGGTAATTGTCAACCTCGTAGGTTGGGTGCGGCGCTGGGCCAGTACCCGCCATGAACATTGCCAGGCGGGCCTGACCTTTAGGCCCTTCCAGCAGAGGAAGGAGGACCTCTGCCAGGCCCGCCTGGATTGGCATCTCTGACGCCATGAGCTCGGCCGTGGTGATGGGGGCTGCAAACATGCCAGGACTGCTTACTTGCTTGACTGCTTTCAGCAACTTGACATCAAGCAAGGAGTGTCAGGATCACAATGATGCCCAACTTGCTTTGTTGTAGCATCTGTAAGGACATCAGCATGTATAGCTAGCAACACAGGCTGTGGCCCTGCCAGGTGTACACAGTCCTTTCTTGTTCTGCAGTTGCAGCAGGATGTTGAATAGTTGTACAAGAGATGTGCAGATGTCATCAAGCCAGCAACAACAAGGCCTTCACTTGGTCCAGCTGATGTAGGGTGCATCATCAAGACACTCAAGGCTGATGAGTTTCTGCATCAGTCCTTTCGGAGCAACCTTGATCTTCCACCGCCTCGGGCGGACATCAGGCCACTCGAGCCTCGTCCATGTTGCAGCGACTGCAACAGTTTGACATCAGTCTGCTCAAACAGTCCGGGCACAAGCAACAGCGCAACAACGAGTCTCTGCAGCAGGAGACGCAGCGGGCGAGCATCATCTGTCCTTAGAGCCTTGCCAGACGGCAGGGCCTTTGTCAATCCTTCAGTCCACCCAAGCCTTCTTCCTTTTCATGCCCTTGCAGACGTGCGCGAGAGCTGATTGTCGACGCCCCTCGCACGCTCGTCTTCGGCAGCCCGTCGCCTCTGCAAGATACTCGAACCAAGGCCCGATCGCGGGCGCAGATGTCACACAGGGATGATGGGATCAACGCGCGATGAAACTTCTGATTGCCGAGGAACATGGGACCTGCGAAGCCGGGAACTAGGAGCTGGGGGCGGTTGAGATCGTATTTACAGGATGAGGGGAGCGCAACCTATGCGCGGGACGAGACAAAGAGACGGAGGCCATCCTGGTGGAGCTCGGCGCGCAGGTCTTCTGCGCGGGCGCCGGCGGGGAGCTGGAAGCACTTCTCTACTTGGTGCGGCTCGGTGGCCGGGGACGTCACCTCGCTGTCGGATTCGGTGCCGCCGGCGCTGCTGATCTCGACGTAGTCGTCCTCGTCGTCATTGCGGATGATCTCGTCGCCGTTGGCGTCGACGTCGCTGACCCGGGCACGCTTGGGCGAGCGGCTGCGGCCCTTGCGGCTAGATGTGCTGGGGGTAGGGCTGGACGGGCGCGCTACTGCGATGGGGGAGGCGGCGCCGATCTTGTCGTCCCAGAGACCCGCGACGGTGACGGTGTTGGTCTGCTCGTCGACCGAGATTCTGATGTCGCTGGCCTGGACCTTGTTGGCGATGGCCGAGTTGCCGGCGGGGAAGGAGTGGGAAAAGACGAGCAGGTCCTTCTTGTCCTCGGGTTGGGCCGCGGCGGCCGGCGCTGCCTGGTCTGCCTCGGGCTGGGCGGGAGCGGCGTCTGCCGGGGCCTCGCTAGGCGAAGGTCCGACCTCTTCGGGGTCCTGGTCGATGGCCATGGCGTCGTCCTTCGAGGCGGTGGCCTTGTCGTCGGTGGTCGAAGGGGTCGAGATGACATCGCTGGTGCCGAGGAGGGTGTCCAGGGCGGGCTCCATGTCTTCGTCCTGGCCGGCCTCGTCGACAGCCTTGGCCTTGCCCTTGCCGGTGGCGGACTGAGAAGCGGACTGAGGGGCGGGCTGCTGAGGGGCGGACTGCTGAGGGGCGGACTGCTGAGGGGCAGACTGCTTGACGGCCGTCGAGCGGGAAGGGCCAGGAAGCGGAAGAGAGGCTAGCTCGCGGTGGCCGTCGTCGTCAAAGCTGAGCCCGCCAAAGAGGAGGTCCTCGAGAGCGAGGAAGAGGTGCCTGGACTGGTCCTCTGCGTGCTTGGCGGCGGCGATGCGGCGGCGCTCCTGTTCGATGGCCTGGGCCTTGCGTCGCTGGTACTCGGCGTACTGCTGCCTGCGTCGGTACTCTTCGCGGGCGGCCTGCTGCTGGCGCTGTCGCTGGAGCTGGAGCTGGTGCAGCTGGTACTGCCGGTGGGCCTCTTGCTGGCGGCGGAGCAGCTCCTCTCGCTGTTGGAGGTGCAGGAGGTGCTCGAGGTAGGCGCGGGCTTCGCGCTCCTCCTGTGCACGTCTGCGGGCTGCTTTGGCGCGCTGGATGGCCTCGGCGCGAGCCTGGGCGGCCTCCTGCTGGCGTATTGCATCGAAGAAGGGCGATGCAAAGAGGGGTGCGGCGTCGAAGCTGCAGGCGGGGTGGGCGTTGGCGCCGCGGCGAGAGGCGCAGCGAGCCATGGGCTGCTCAAAGGCGAAGACGTCGGAGGGGAGGAAGAACTCCATGGCGATTGATGCGGCGAGGAAAGGAGGTGAGGAGTGTGTTCGCTTCAGGGAGGACGGTGGAGTAGACGTGTAGAGGCGTGGCGGTGGTAGAGCTGCGAGTGGGTTGATTGATGGAGTGGATGGTGATGAGGCTCGAGCCCTAGCCCGTCTTTATAGGAGTGTGAGCGCATGGCGTGGGTATGTGTGCCAGAGAAGGGCCCGCGCAACGGTGGCACGGCGATAAGGTGAGAAGTGGTGGCAGCGGCGGCGGCGGCGGCGGCGGCGAAGGACGTCGAGGGGCGTGGAAGCAGGCCCCCAGGGTGCAGGGTGCAGCCCAAAGGGTCCAGACAGCGCTGAGCCCGGCGAGCGCCGCCTCGAACCTCGTCGACCCACGGCGACGCTTTGGCCTGGCAGACGACCACGCGGCCGCGCCACCTTCCAGCGCCTTCTGGCAGCTTCGCGGAGTGTCGAGGGATTTCTCACTCGGCCGAAAAAAGCTCGAACCGCAACCTGGCTCTGACTAGCCCACAGGGCACCACCACCAGGCCGGCCAAACTTGCTCAGCCAGCCATTTCCACTCTCCCCCGTCGTCCGTCATCTCGCCATCCTTGATGCCGCAGCCTCAAGCCGACCGATGCTTCGTCGACCACTAGGAGCCTAGGACAGCTCCGGCAGCATCGCATGCTTCCCGCGCGCCTGCGCCCGCGTGCCATCCAATGCCAGCCCGATGAACCCCCTGGCCTCTGGGCGTCTGGAAGCAGGGGGCATAGATAGACTCGCGGCATCTGGGCCTACCCGGCGCCCCCCTACCGCGCCGAGGCAGGCCGAGGGCGTGGCCGCGGTGCCTGATCGACGTCCCGCGTCGACGCCAACCTCCTTGCTTGCTTGATCATCTCGCACACTTCCCGTCCCAGCTGTCTCTCTTGCTTGCCGTCGACTCGTCCGCTCTCTTGTCCAAAGGGGCCTAACCATTCGCTGATGCGAGAGCCGTGCTTGGCGGCGACCATCTCGAGTGTCAAGCTCCACCTCGCTCGCACCTCCTGCAGGACTCACTTGGTTGCCTAAGACCTGGCGGGTCATCCACAAGCAACTGCTCCACTGCTGCTGCTCGGACGTGGGCATATGCTCGGACGCCCGGACGGGCAGGCAATCCGGCACTCCTGTCCTGCTGGACGGGACGAGATGGAGCGGCCCGCGGCCCTGCGGCTCGGGCATTCTGTTGTCCTTTTCCACTGCAGCATCCTCGGCGCCGGTCCCCCCTCTCGTCAACCCCGCAGCGCTCTCCTTTCGTCACGAGCACAGGCGCTGCGTCGCCCCAGCGGGAACTTGGTCCGAGTTCACGCAGAGGAGCGGGACAAGGACAATAACATCACCGTACGTACGCTCGCGGTCAAAGGAGAAGCGCGAAGCCATGACAACTAGGTGAGCAAGCGCGCCGACAGGGCCGAGGCAGGATGTTGGTCTCACTGCTCAGAGCGGACACGCAGGACAGACCCTGGACGACGGCCAAGCGAGCTGAGACGAGGCAGGCAGGAGGGCAGGGAAGGGCAGGGCAGGACCCTAGCTGGCCGCCCTCGACGGCGAGGTACGATGAGCTGCATCGACCGTACGAGCCGCCGGTCCAACGCCCGCGACCAGACCACGGACGACATCGGCTGCGGCGGCGATATGGATGGTGCTCGAGCTGTTCACGACCATCCACGACGGAGGGCGACCATGGCCGAGCTGCGAGCTGCCTACCGCTCGGGGAGGACTCGGCCGCGCTCTGCTATTTCTGTCGCGGATCAAGTAGGGGGGA